GGGATTTTGAATGGAAAAAGTGAGGATAGAATGCATTTGGGCTTATGGAACCTAGATTCAAATTGGGGATCTACCACCAATTGTGGTTACCCATCATGACTCTGAGCAAGTCACTTAACCTTTCTGTGCCTCATTTTCCTCATCTTTAAAAGCGAGTAGCCATATAAATCATCAGCATTTCTATATATCACCAACAAAGTCCAGCAGGAAGAGACAGAGAAATTCCATTTAAAATAACTGCGGACAATATAAAATACGTGGGAGTCTATCTGCCAAGATAAACTGAGGAACTATATGAACCCAATCACAAAATGCTTTTCACATAAATAAAGACATCTAAACAATTAGAGAAATATTAATTGCTCATGGGTAGGCCAAGCCAATATAATAAAAATGACAATTCTATCTAAATTAATTTACTTATTCAGTGCTATGACAATCAAACTACCAAAAAATTATTTTATAGAGCTAGAAAAGATAATAATAAAATTTGTCTGAAAGAACAAAAGGTCAAAAATATCCAGGGAATTAATGAAAAAAAAATGCAAAGGAAGGTAGCCTAACCATACCAGATCTTAAACTATATTATAAAGTGGTAATCATCAAAACTATCTGGTACTGGCTAAGAAATAGAGTTGTGGATCAGTAGAATAGATTAGATACAAATTCCATTATAGTAAATGACCATAGTAATCTAGTGTTTGATAAACCCAAAAACTCCAGTTTCTGAGACAATAACTCACTATTTGACAAAAATTGCTGGGAAAACTGGAAAACAGTATGGCAGAAACTAGGCATAGACCAACATCTTACATGCCAACATAAGGTCAAAATGGGTACATGAATTTAGACAAAGGGTCATATCATGAGTAAATAAGGAGAGCAAGGAATAGTTTACCTGTCAGATCCATGGAGAAGGGAAGAATTTATGACCAAACAAGAGGTAGAGAGCATTAAAAGATGTAAAATGGATATGAGATTTAAAAGGTTTTGCACACACAAAACTGAGGGAATTAAGATTAGAAGGAAAGCAGAAAGCTGGAAATAATTTTTACAGCAAGTGTCTCTGATAAAGGCCTCATTTCTCAAATATATAAAGAACTGAGTCAAATGTATAAGAATACAAATCATTCCCCAATTGATAAGTGGTCAAAAGATATGAACAAGCAATTTTCAGATGAAGATATCAATAGTCATATAAAAAATGCTCTAAATCACTATTCATTAAAGAAAATGCAAATTAAAACAACTCTCAGGTACTACCTCACACCTAGCAGATTGGCTAATATGACAGAAAAGAAAAATGCTAAATGTTGGAGGGGATGGGGGAAAACTGGGACACTAGTGCACTCTTAGTGGAGTTGTAAACCGATCCAAACAATCTGGAGAGCAATTTGGAACTATGCCCAAAGGGTAATCAAGCTGTACATACCTTTTGATCCAGCAATACCACTACTAGGTTCATATCCCAAAGAGATTTTTAAAAGGGGGGGGAGGAGGGCAGCTAAGTGGTGCAGTGGATAGCAAGCACTCCAGTGACACTTGACACTTACTAGCTATGTGAACCTGGGCAAGTCACTTAACCCCAATTGCTTCATCTCCCTCCCAAAAAAGGAAAATAATCTATGTATGCAAAAATACTTACAGCAGCTCTTTTTGTGGTAGCAAAGAATTGTACATTGAAGGGATGTCCATCAATTGAGGAATGGCTGAACAAGTTGTCGTATATGAATATAATGGAAGACTATTGTGCTATAAGAAGTGACAGCAGATGGATTTCAGAAAAATAAATTTCAGAAAGACTTATATGAGCTGATGCAAAATGAAGTGACCAGAACCAGGAAACCACTGTACATAGTAACAGCAACATTGTGCCATGATCAACTATGAATGACTTAGCTGTTCTCAGCAATACAATGATCCAACACAATTCCAAAGGACTCATGTTGAAAAATGCTATTCATATCCAGAGAAAGAACTTATGGAGTCTGAATGCAGATTGAAGTATACTATTTTCACTTTATTTTTTTCATAATTTTTTTCTTTTGGTCTGTTTCTTTTTTCACAAGATGAATAATATGGAAATATGTTTTACATAACTGCACACATATAACCCGTATCAAATTGCTTACTGTCTTAGGAATGGGGAGGGGAGGGAGGGAGAAAATTTGGAATTTAAAATTTTTAAATGAATGTTAAAATTTGGCTTTACATATAATTAAAAACTTTAAAAAAAAGAAGAAATCAAAGCTATATGTAGTTATATAAAATGCTCTAAATTACTATTGAAGTTATGTGCCTAGGAAAGCAATTTAATCTGTTTGAGCCTCAGATTCCTCAACTATAAAATGAAGGTGGCACTCATTGACCTTTAAGATCTCTTCCAGGGGCAGCTAGGTGGCGCAGTGGATAGAGCACCGGCCGTGGAGTCAGGAGGACCTGAGTTCAAAAGTGGCCTCAGACACATAACACACTAGCTTTGTGATTCTGGGCAAGTCACTTAACCCCACTGACCAGCCAAAAGAAAAAAAGAAAAGATCTCTTCCAGCTCTAAATCTATGATCCTACGACTTAAAGTTTGAGGGGTTTTATATAACATCATACTATCCTTCCATATGTACAAATATCAATGTTATGTTATGTTATTTGCAAAGGTAAGGTCAAAGGGAATGATATAAGATTCAAGAAAGATAGGATCCTTTCACATTGGGGGGAATCAAGGAAGGCTTCATGGAAGAAGTGGTAACTGAACTTTGTCTTAAAGGAAGAAAAGGATTTCAATGGGTGAAGAGATAAGGAACAGCCTACACAAATGTATATGTGAGAGGACCCAAGCTTGGGGAACAATGATTAGTAAATAGTCCCCTTTACACTAGAATCCAGTTGGGCCTCACTTAGACTGGGGGAGGGTGAAAAGCATAAAATGAGGCAAGAAAAGTAAATATTTGAAGCTAGATTGTGGAAGGCTACCTGCTAATTGGATGATCCTGGGTAGTCATTTTACCCCTTTAAGTTTGTTTTCTCCTCTGAGTATAATGAGGATATTGAATCCTATAGCCTTATGTGGAGTTTGTATTTTATTAGGTATGTTAATTCTCTTATTCTCTTCGTTCCAGGCAGGCCTGCACAACTTGCTGTCTGCTGGCTGCCAAAGGATTTTGGGTGGCCCTGGAAAAATGTAGAGGAAAACATCCTTTGTATGTAGAGGAAATCCTTTGGCATGTCACAAGCAGCCTGAGGGTTGTAAGCCAACTTCGGGCAGGGAATTGTGCAGGCCTGCTCCAGAGGATAAAACCAAGAACAGTGGCTAGTAATGGCAAAGACTTAGATTAGGACTGATGTAATTGATGAAGAGCAGCACTATCAAAGAGTGGAATGGGCTGCCCTGGCAAACAGTGAGATACTCCAGACTTGAGGTCTTCAAGCAAAGGCTGAGTGAGCACTTGTTGGCAGTGTTGTAAAGGAAATTCTGGTCTAACTATCACCGCTACACAGATAACTCCTGGAACATATATCCAGCCACAGTCTTTCTCCTGACCTCCAGTCACAGACTGCCAGCTACTTTATTAGATATTTCAAACTGTGTATCCTGCAGGCAGTTCAAACTTAACCATGTTCAAAACAAAACTTATTCATTATCTTTCCCTTCAAACCTATCCTTCTTCCTCTCTATTTTTGTTGAGGGCAACCTTATCTTTCCAGTCAACCAGTTTTATAACCTTGGAATCACCCTCAACTCTCCATATTCTTCTTCATCTTACTTATCCAAACAGCTGCCAAGTTTAGTTGATTTTTACCTTCAAGCCCCCACCATCACTTACCTCAACTAGTGTAATAATCTGCTCTTTGTCTCCCTGTCTCCTCTCTTTTCTTCCCCATCCATTCTCCACACAGCTGCCAAAATTATATTTCTAAAGCACAGGTCTGACCTTGTCATTCTCCTACACAAGAAACACAGTGGCTCCCTATTACCTGCAGAGTTAAACAAAAATTCCTGTTTGGTATTTACAGCTCTTCCCACTCTACCTTTCTAGTTTTAACCTCACTTCAAGTCTCTTACTCTCTGGCCTGGCCCAAACTGTTCCTCGAACGACATTCTTTCTCCTGCATCCTTGCCTTTGCACAAGCACATTCCCCACCTCCCCCCTTCCTCCTACAATGAACTCTCTCCTCACCTCCACCATTTATAATCTCTAGTTTCTTTCAAAGCTCAGATCAAACACTACCTCATCTTCCTGGCTTCCTTCAAGTTTCAGCTAAAGTCTCACCTTCTAAGAAGCCTTTCCCAGTTCTCCTTAATCTTAGTGCCTTTCCTTTGAGATGATTTTCAGTTTAGGCTGTATCCACCTTGTTTGTACCTAGATGTTTGCATGTTGTCTCGCCATTAGACTGTGAGCTCCTTGAGGTCAGGTGCTGGTTTGTTTGTTTTCCTTTTCTTTGCATTTCTAGCGCTTAAAAGCACAACTCCTGGCAAATCGTAGGTGCTTAATAAATTATTATTGATTTGACCCCCTCAGGTATCCTTTTGTGATGCCCCCTCGCCCTGTCCCGCAAATTACTATTTATTTACTTTGTATATACTTCTATGTAGATACATTGCCTCACCCGAATCGAATGTAACTACTTTAAGAGCAAGAATTGTTTCATTTTTGTCCGTGCATCCCCGGCTCCTTTTACACAGCAGGCGCTTAATAAATGCTCGCGGCATAACTGGGGGGCGGGGTAGACTAGACAGTTTCTTTAGTCCAGTCCAACTCGGGATCCGTGAGCTGGGCTGTCGGTCAGCTCCCCAAAGGCAGGGACGTCCAAGAGCCACTCAGTCCCGAGCCTGGGCACTCAAGATCAAGTTCGTTCCCCCAGATCTTTCAATGGACCCAGAGAGGGGACGAGAGCCGTCAGAGGTATGACATCACCCCAAGCCTTGTCCCCATTGGTCGGTAGCCCCCTCCCCCCGCCTCCTTTCCGTTCGCTAGGCCCGCCCCGCCCCGGAAGCCTGGAGCCACGTGACAGGAGACGGCCTGCCTCAGCCGTCGTCGTGTCCGCTCAGAGAGAGAATGGCGGAGGCGCCGCCTGTTTCAGGTAGAGTTCTGGCCCGGCCCGCGGGCTTTTCTTTTCTTGTTCTCCCATTCCTCCTCCCCTTCCTCAGGCTGACCCCGAGAGCCTGGGGCCGCCCTGTTTCTGCCCCCTTCCCAGGAGCGGAAGTTGGGTTACTGAACCTGACCGAATTTCTCGCTCCATTCACGGCGGCTCCAGCGGTTAATGTCGCGAGAGGGGCTGGCGAGGTCCCTGGGGGCGGCTCGTGCTGGACCGGGGCGGGCTGGGGGCAGGGAACGGAGGCCCTGAGGGGCCAGACGGGGAGGGAGGCTCGAGTCGGGAAGCGGGAGAGCCAGGGTGGGCTTTTCTTTTCACTCTTGTCTCCACCTGGAATTCCTGGACCAGCTCATCCTTCCCACTCTCAGCTCTTAACGCTGCCTCCTTCACCAAGAGCCTTCACATTTTTTTCTCCTCTCATCCCCCAAGAATGCGATTTTCCATTTCTCTGAACCCTGTTGGTTTTATGCCCCCTTTAGCGCAGTACAGCTTTGCTTTAATTAGCGTTATTGCCAGAGCTCTGAGGTTGTCTTACTCACCTTAGCAGCTCCGACCACAGTGCTTGCCACCCGGTTAGAGTCTTAGCGGATGTTTTACTGGCTGGAGGGAAAGGAAGATATTTAGGTAGTAACATCATGGAGGACCTGTGAGATAAAACATGTACGTGGTATATATGTGCCTTTTAAATCTTTTGAGAGATTTCATAATGCCCCTATGCCTAGAATGAACATTCCCCATCCCATCCCCGTTGGGGTGCAAGCTCCTTGAGTGATTCTCCCCCCTCCCCACTCCCTTGTGTCTTCAATGTGTTACATTGCCTTTCACATAGTTGCTTAATGTTTGTTGAATTGAATCTGTGAATTCCTTCTCTTAAATCCCCAGTTCAGGTTCTTTCTTCGCAACTTTCCCGGATCTAATCTTTCCTTTCTTCTAGCTGAAAGTGATCTTTCCCTTCAAGTTTCTGATAACCTGCCCAGACCTTTGCAGTTTTCACCCTTGTCTTCAAATTTTATTTATGTCTCTACCCTTGTCCTCATCCCCATTAGATTATAAGAGCTTTGAAAGCACGGTTCATAGCACATCTATCTTTGTATGCTTCATTTGGGCTTAATAAATATTTCATTGAATTGAATTGTGATGAATGTGTTCTTTTCCTCATCTGTCTTTTTGAAAGCCTTTCTGGGACCTGTGCAGACTAATAACTTACTCTCCTATGATTTTTATTTGTTTGTTTGTTCTAAGCCCTTATTCTTTCCTGGATTAACTCATTTTACAAACTATTTACTTCTACATATTGTCCTGACTTTCCACTAATCAGGTTATTCTGCTCAATATCATTTGGCTTAAGACCCTAATGGGTCTTGTCAACCATTTACGTCTTTAAGCCTTCTCTCAAGCTAAACCATATGTCTTGACTACTCTTTTGGCTGCACCCATGTTTGTCAAACTAGCTGCTTTGTTCAGCAGCTCCTGGAAATCTACCTTTGTAAAATCTTCTTTCACCATGTCTCAAGGCATCAATTCCATTTTGAAGCAATTCTAATTATTGGGAAATTTTTTTCAAATACTGAGTGAAAAATCTGCCCTTTTGTAGTAACTTTGGTGTTACTTTTTGTATGGAGCCATGCAGAAGGGGTTTGATACCTTTCTACCTGACAGTTCTTGAAATACTTGAAAATAGCTTTCATGTACTCTGTCAAGCTGTCTCCTCCAGGCTAATCATTCAGCTGTTCCTTGCATTCTGAGTTTCTCATCCTCACCTCACCTTTTTTTTTTTTTGGTTGTGCTACATTGTGTTCGTGTCTCTCTCATTTGTGGTGCCCAGAATTGGGCACAGATCTCCAGACACTGTCAGTTTTAGGGTCAAGTGCAGCAGGACCATTGCTTTTATTGTTTTGGATACTGTGTCTCTCATAGTGCTGCTCAAGATCTCAATAGGTCTTCTGGCTGCTGAGTTTCACTGCTGATTCACTGAGCTGGTAGTATATTAAAATCTCTAGATTTCTTTAATTAAAGTGAGCTCCTTTCTAGATATATCTTCCCCAACTTGTGCAGTGATTTTTTTTTAACATGCATGCAAGTTATCCCTATTTATATGATCATATTTGCTTCAGTTCACTATTCAGGATCTTTTGGGAGCCTCATTCTGGCATGCCGTCTATTTCAGCTTCATGTTACCTTTATATTTCCATCTTTAGTCAAATGTCTTGTATATCTTTATCCTACTCAATAATATTTATTAAATGCTTACTAAGTGAAAGGCATTGTGCTAGAGATAAAAAGGCAAAAAGAAAAACAGTCCCTGCCATCAAGTAACTTGCATTCTACTGGAAGATATACCATGCACACAGATAAATAAATACAAGGTAATTTGAAGAGAGGTCATAGGGTTTTAATTTAGAGGCGGTCATTCAGTCCAACTCTTTAATTTTCACATGGGGAAACTGAACCACAGAGAGGTTAAATGTCTTGCCCAGGCTCACAAGCTAGTAAATGCTGAGGTAGGATTGGAAAGGTCTTACTGACTTTGAGTCCACCATACTACTTATACTACCTCTCCCATAGGGAGAAAGATTGACAGCTAAGCTAGAAGTAAAATGAGGATTCTGAGAGGTAGAGGTGAGGAAGGAGCGCATTCCAAGGCATGGAAAATGTTCTTCTTATGCAAAGGCGGAGAAGCAGGAAACTGAATTCTAAGTTCAAGAAACAGCAGATAATTCAGTTTGATCCAGAATGTAGTATGTGTAAAGGGGATTTACATAAAATAAATTGGGAAAGATAGCCTGGAGCCAGATCGTGGATGACTCCCCCCCCTTTTTTTTTAGCTAGGCAATGGGGTTAAGTGACTTGTCTAGGGTCACACAGCTAGTAAGTGTTATGTGTCTGAGGCCGGATTTGAACTCAGGTCCTCCTGAATCCAGGGCCGGTGCTCTATCCACTGTACCACCTAGCTGCCCCTGTGGATGACTTTCAGTTCTAGACTGAAGAATTTGTATTTTATACCAAAGACAACAAGAAGCATCCATGAGTTGAGCAAAACAGGACCAAGGACAAGCTTTTGGTATTCAGTTAGAGACCTCTCTCCCCATAGACATCAATTTATTAATCAGCAGTCTCGAGTTAGTGGGCCAACCAATTCAAAATGACCTAACTGTATTATCATCCAGTTTATATTTCCTCATCTTTTTCAAGGAGACTTTGCTAGATGCCATCCTGAAGTCTAGATATATCATATTCCTGGCATTTCCTTGATCTGCCACTATTTGGCTCTGGGAGAGAGAAAAAGTTTAGAGCAAGCAAGGTCGGGACAAGCTACTAACAGACAGCACTGAGGCATGATAAGTACACAGGAGAGTCTCACAGTGTTCTGTGAGGCCTGAGGGACCACAAGATGGCTTCTTAGAGGAGGTTGGCTCTAAAGGATGGGTAAGAGTTTAGCAAGCAAAAGTGTTGAGGACGTTCCAGACATAGAAAACAGTCTAAACTTTAGGCTTGGAAGCATGCAAACACTTTGCATGGTGGAGGTCTGGCTGGAGTATTAGAGGCTGTAGAACAGAGTAATAATATAAGCTTAAGCTGGAAAGGTAGTTTCCATGTTGGAGGCCTTAAGCGCCAGGCAGAAGAGTTTGAACTTGAAAGGCATTAGGGAACCTCTGGAGATTTTTGGTAACAGGATGGGGAGTAGAATTAGATAGTCCTGTTTCTGGTTTGTTGAAGCATCATGAAGGTTATTTCCCAGCAGAGAAACTACCATCACAGTGGATATTCAGAGAACGTTGTGGCAATTCTCAAGGAATATGGAATATGGTATATACATATTCATGCATTTATTAGGACCTAAGAAAATAGCTACCCTATTAGTTCACATAGAATTTGCACCCAAAGAATGTTAAACTCAAATATAGCCTGTTATCATGCTCTTAAATTCAACAGATGTATCTCAGTCATTGCCAGTGACCTGCCAAGGGAGTGAAGCAAATCCTTTCTGCATGCTCTTAGAGTGGTTACTTTACTATCTGCCATCTCTGCCCAAATCCCTAATGTTTGCCCATCAACTTGCCCGTCTTTTCCTACTCTACCCTCCACCCTCTCCCCAGGTTGAAGAAGGGTAGTAGTAGCTGAGAGGGCATTCCCAGAAATCTTCATCTGGAAAGGCATGTGCACTTTGTCTTTGAGCTCATGTTCTGGTGTGCACTTTTAAATAGATGACTAGAAGGCTGTTCCGTATAAATGCAGACCCAGCTCCTTAGAGCTTGATGTCATGGAGGGAGAAAGGCAGCAGAAAAAAAAAAGACCAAGCTGGTGAATCCTAGCAATAAGGTATTTTTCTAAACTTAACCTTGTGAGGAGCTGCCTAGGAGTTGAATGAGAAAAGGAGGTAGTGGGGAAAGTAGGAGTTTGTTGTTAATCTCCTCCCTAACCTCAAAAAAAAAAACCCCAAACCAAAACAATTGGTTTGTTTTTCTAAAATTTCCTACTTTCCTAGATTCCCTTTGATTCATTTTAATGCCCTACATTTTTGTGTAGCAAAAGCTTAAACTTTTTGGTGGGAAGAATCATAGAATAATTTTGTATAATTATTTTTCAGTTTATACATATATGTATATATTTTTTCCTTTCAGAGACATCTCATTTTAGGGGTATGGCCTATATTCAGACCAGTATGGCCTGGCTCAGATTCTCCTGGATCTTCACTGGTAACTAATTTAGTGACTGACATGTCAATTTTTCATCTAATAGGTACTTTAAGTGTCAGTACAGACACAGCTGATTTCATTCCACATGAAAGACAAAATCCTGATCTAAATTGCAGAATTCAAAGAAGACTGGAATCTAGTAGGATTCACAATAGAAGTAATAATTCACCACCTTTTTGTCAGCTTTCTAGTCAAGATCCTCGCCATGAAGATTCAGCAAGTCAACACAATTATAATAATCAAGGAAACAAATATAAGGGCAAGCAAAGTTCTTTCCAGACTTCTAGTAAAACACCAAAGAACCATGGCTTTCAAAACCAACAGTGGCATAAATGGAGAAGTGACAGGAATTATACCAGAGCCCAGGCAACCCAGGCTCCTCCTGACCAAGGAACAGGAATAGATGTCTCAGAAGTAGTGGCAGGGTCAGAATGTGAAGCAAATCCTAGTGAACCCAGCAATGTATACTCTTCAGAGAGTGAGAAAGAAGTAGTAGCTAGCATGGACCACAAAGGTGCAAAGCCAAAGAAAATGGCATATATGACATCTGTTTCAGGACGGGGCCCAAAAGCGAAGGGGGGGAAACCAAGGTATGAAGGGACTAACAGAATGACATCTAAACAGAAAGATAGAGCGTCTGAGAACATGAGACCTGTAGGTGCTGTCCAAGCTAACTCTTCAGAAGCAGTCACAGAAAAATTGGCCTTTGATGTATCTAGAAACAATGAACATAAAAGATATATAAATAGAAGTTATCCCTGGGAGACTGTGTGGAATAAGCCACAGCCAGATAGAGAGATTCAGAAGATACATGAGGGTCAGAAGAATAAAAATACAAGACTTAGAAATTCTCTTTCCTATGTCACAAAAGACAAATTTAATGAAAGACCTAAAAAATCTGTTGGTGATGATCGGAACTTGGCAACCCCAAGCAAATCTCATAAAAGGTTTGAAATGGAGAAATGCTCTGGAAGACGACTCCAGAAAGAATCTAAAGCAGCCTCTCAGCTCATTTGGAACAAACAGAATGATGTGCCGAAAAATAAAGAAACACATACAGGTAAATTCAACTAAAGGAGTTTTTAAAAATTAAATTTTATTTTTTCCCATTAACAAAGCTCTACTTAATCTCCTCCCCCCGCCCCAAGCAAAACAAAAGGTTAATGTAAAAAAACCCAGCTTTGAGGCCTTTGTAGAGTCAGAAGGCCTAAGTTAAGGTGGCCATAGAGGAATAGGGCAAGCAGATGAGGCCATCCTGGGGAGGTTGTAAAGGTACCAAAAAGAAGGGGGAAAAGGGATGTCATTGTATCTTATATTTACATAGTACTTTAAGCTTTATAAAACACTTAACTCATTAGACTTATTTAATCTTTACAGTAATCTAGCAAGGGAAGTAATGAAATTATTATTAGTCTCATTTTATCGGCAAGGCAACTGAGGCTCAGAGAGATTAAGTTATTTTACTCAAGGTCACATGACTAACAAGTGGAAGAACTAGGATTCAAATAGAAACCTAAACTTTCTGAGAATTGAAAGAGCCCTCAGAGGTCATCTAGTCCAACAGTTGCGTAAACAGAAATTCCTTGTGCAGTATCTCTGGGCAGTAGACCTTCCCAGTCAAGTTCACTAGCATTTATTAAGCTCTTGTGCTAAGAGCTGGAAGTACAAATATAAATAGAACCTACACCTTGCCTTCAATGAATTTACATACGAATGGGGCAAGATAACACAAAAGGAAGATGAGAAGGGAAGGATAAGCTACCTGGCTCTGGACTTGGTAGAGAAAGTCCTCTGGAGATGAGTCAGCAGTGCAGCACAGAGAGGAATGAAGACATGTTTGGGCTACACTTTCTCCTTAAAATGGAGGTTCTAGAAGGAACTAGCCAATTAGAAGGAGAGACTGAAGGTCAGGGAGTAGGGTGCTTTCAAAATGAGAAGCACCATCTAGTCCAAGGATAGAGTGAGTTTGCAGGGGGAAGAGATTTCTGTGACATGGTAGAGAAGGCCCCTCAGTATAGTCTGGAGAGGAATGAAAATGTGTTTGGCCTGAGCCTCTTTAATATGGAGGTTATAGGAGAAACAAGCCAATCAGAGGGAGAGGTAGCAGGGAAGAGAAGTACTTCCAATGTGAGAAGTAGTCCCTCGGCCTTCAGTAATGGAGAACTTTATTACATCCAGAGGCAGCTCATTCTTGGCACAGCTCTAATTGTCAGGAGGTTTATCCTTAAATTGACCTTAAATTGGCCTTTTTATGACTTCTGATTGGCTTTTATATAATTACGTAATTAGAACCTATAATTAGAACCACTGAAGGCTTTCTAGGGTATGACCAGCTCTGACTTTGAAGGATTAGAGATTTCAGATGGTCAGTGACTCTTCACACTAGATAGTTCCTGATAGTGATGGTTCTCATTCAGTGTAACCCAAAGCCTCCAATTTTCTAAGTTTTATTGTCAGCCATATAACAGATAAATTTCACCTTGGCTACTGTGACTGCTAAGATTTCTTAAGTAAGTAAAAAGCACTTGCCATGTACAAAGCACTGTGCTAGGTGCTGGGAATACAAAGACAAAAATGAAATTCCCCAGCTCTTAACCTTCTGGAGATGCTTCAGATATCTGGGAACAGTCTGGATGGGTGGGCCTCTTAAAGTCCACCAAACCAGTCTCTTCTACAGGACACATAATGTTAGGGCAGTTTTAGAATCTGTTTTCTTGAGGTGGGGATGGGGAATCCCTGTAGTAAAGTGTCACATTAAATGTTCTTATGCTGCAGAAGTCATGCAGCTATAGCTTGAGTCTTGCCACTAAATATAAGAAGTGGTTAGTTACTAGGCAACCTCTAGGCAGTGTTCATTTATCCATGAAAATATGCACCTGTGAGTATTCCTTTTCTAAAAGCTCCACCTCAAAATATTCCTTGGCTTTGTATTCCTGTCCCCAAATTTGGATCATTTCCTTTTCAAAATATCTTAAATGTAGCTGTTAATACCTTCCAATTGAATTGTATGTAATGTGTGGAACTAGAATGCATATAATAACTTGATCCCTGTATGTGTGTTGTTTTTTTCAGGGTCTTTAATAGAACAGTTAACCACAGAGAAATACGAATGTATGGTATGTTGTGAAGTGGTTCGAGTGATGGCACCAGTTTGGAGTTGTCAGAGCTGTTATCATGTATTTCATTTGAACTGCATTAAGAAGTGGGCAAGGTCACCAGCTTCACAAGCAGAAGGTCTGTGTGTTTTCTACTGTGACATTGATTTCACCACTTTGTTTATATTTTCAAGTCTGAAACTCAAACCACTCTATTTCTTCTAGATATTTTGCTTGCAATTAAAAGTATACCTAGTAATCCTACCTTTGTTATGTCATCTGAAATGTTAAGATTAAATCAGACGAAAGTATTGGCATAAATCTTGATTAAAATGGTTAAACATAATAACATTAAAGAGTACTTTATTAAAAGATGAGACTAATAAAGGAAGATTTAAAGGAATTAATGTCTAGCTAGGTACTATTTGGTATCTCTCTGATTGGTGCGCAATTATAAAATCCCACCTTAATCTAACCCTGGTCCTGCTTCCAGAACTGATTGGATACTTCTTTGTAACTCACTCTGAATCTTTATTCTGAAGTCAGATTCCTTCTGGGACCTGGTACAAGCTATTACAATTTTAGTCTGATATCAAAAGCTCTTCGAGCTTTATTAGCTGCCATTGTTTTTTCTGTCTCAGGTAGCAGCTAAGATGGTTGAGTTGTTTAGGCTATTGGAATTAAAGGGATAGCCTTCCAGTTTCCATTTTGGATAGGGTCATTTTTCTACATCTGCTCTCCAAATGGCTGTAACAAGAGAGCTGAAATCCTTGTAGTCAAAACTCCATTTCAGCAGCATGAAACATGCACAAATGTCTTCCAATAAGAAATATTTTTTACCCTTTATTAAAAAATTAAGAAACACTCCTCCAAATATATTTCCAATTGTACCTAACACTAGTTTAAATATAAATGCAGTAGTAAGGCTTATGCTTTTAAGTGGTGGTTCAGACTCACAAGTCCGGTTCAGAATCGGCTTTCTTTTACAAAATTTCCAGTTATACTCAACAGATTTTAAAATGCTTTTGTGACATTGGTTACATCTGTAGGAAACTGAGTTTAATTATTCTTAGAAGAAAAAATAGTCGATTTTCAATTATACAGAAGTGAATTATCCCTGTAGCAGATAATCGTTATGGAGCCTGGCTTTTTAATTAGAAAAGGCCTTTAAAAGAAGATTAATTTTCCTTACTTTCAGGAACAGCAATTAAAACCAGTAAGAGAATATATTTACTTAGATTACTGCTTTTTATCAGTCTTATACAGATTTGTTTTTGTTTATTCCTATGTTCAGTCCACCGTCATTAAAAATATTTAAGAAACATTTTTATCATACGAGATCCTTTTTCTCTGAATATGAATATTAGATTTTGTGATGTGTTTGTAAATATGAGGCATGGGAGAAAAATCAGCCCTTTAAAATTTCCCTTGTCGTTGGATGAAATGAAAGATAAGAGCTATCTATCTATCTACCTTCACACATACACACATATGCATATGCACATACACACGTACATGTATGTGCATATATGTGTATAAATTGCCCTGTGCCACTCTTCACCCTCTCTTAGTTCCAAGCTAAGAGGACTGACCTTTTTAGTGGTAAATGCAGTCTGAAATGATAAACTGGGGTCAGGGATATAAGAATATATATTCAATCTTAGAGGCAAACTTAATTTACTCATGGGTTATGTGCCTCAAGGTTAGGGTACTAAATAGGAGAAGCATGGTGTGACATTTAGGAAGCTTAGGATCTAGTGTTAAGGGAAAATATGGTTTATACAAACATCTGGTCATTTCAGAGGAAATGTACTTACTTGGTTCTTTCATCATGGAGGTGGATTACATGAGCAAGAACTAGAGGAAGACAGATTATTTCTCATGGACTAAAGTACTACTTAAATGCCTCATACTAGGGCGGTAACCCTGAGTTTCTAAAGCCTGAGTCAACAGAATGTAAGTTCTCTTGAGAAGAAAAGGTTTCAAGTAAGGACTTAACCTATCTTTTCATTTTCTGAGGACCAACTTAGGAGAGGTTTATTTCTAGGTTGACTGTAAGATAATGTCTCTTTTGGCCACAGCAATTCTCAAAGATCATCTACTGAGTTACAGAGGAGGTGCAATTGTTAACTAGTGGAAGGTGTACATGCACCAAGGAAATTACAGATCCTTTAAGTATTGTGATGTCCTTCATAAAGGATTCATATAACCAGATCAAGAAATACTGTTATCAAAGAAAGAATACACCAGTATTCTGCCAATTACCTATCTGGGGCATATAATATTTCCTTTATTGATTATATATAATTACATAGGAGAGACCCACTGAAGGGGGAGGGAATAAGCATTTATATAGTACCTGCTATGTGCCAGGCACTGTGCTTATTTCACTTGATTCTCCAATCCTGTAAGATAAGTGTTATTATTATCCCCATTTTACAGTTGTAGAAACTGAGGCAAACAGAAGTTAAGTGACTTACCCATAGTCTCGTAGCTAGTGTCTGAAGCTGGATTTGGAGTTACAGATTTATGGGAGATTGGTGAACCTATAGAACTATACGTGAAATTAGTGAATATGTTCAGAGATGAACCACTGAGGTTTTTAGCAGGCTTCTCCAGTGTATTCAGAGAAAGGAAAACTATTAATAGGTAATGTACAGTTTTTGGTCATCTAAACCAGTATCACAGGCCTTTTATTGTTCTACATAGAAGTAGCAAGGTTTTCCTTAGTTTCTTCAGGTGAGCAATACCTACATCTAACCATAGACCTTTGTAGTAATGTCAGAGCTCTCTAGATGCACAACAGAAGTGATCTGTCTACTGGGATTTTAGAATTCCTTTGCTTTATTTGAATACTTTATTGTAATTAGTATTTATTATGAGAGATTTTCTCAAAGTTTGTTCACTTTTGTGTATAAAGCAAATGCTGTTGGTGTTTGAACTGTAGATCTCCAACCTGGAATTTGACTTTTCTAGCTTCTCATTTAGTCTCCATTCTTTCTACTTCCGTGGTGTGCGTAGATTTTTTTTTAACCTTGATAGTAAAAATAAGGTAGAAATTGACACTTAATTTGCGTTTTTCCTATATATCTCTAAAGATAAATGTAACCTTTATAAATACTCAATATGTTGTGTTACTAATAATTAAAACATCAGACATATTTAATGTGGAAAATGTTTTTATTAGTCCCACTTCCATTTTGTGATTTATAATGTGTTTTTGAAAGAAAAGAAATTCATTTTACTTAATGTTTTCCTTGACAGACGCTCATAGAGGCTGGCGATGTCCAGCTTGTCAAAATGTTTCAGCACAAGTTCCTAGTACATATACCTGCTTTTGTGGTGAGTATTGATTATATATGATAGAAACCTTTGAGTGAGTTACACCTAAGCCAATTTCATAGTCCAGACTATAGGACAATATCCTCACATTATCGAGTCAAAGAAAGCTTATGGACTTAACTTTTTTGGTCTTTGGGATCTGTATGGCTCTTATCAAGATGGACCTGAAGTATGAGGAAATGGTCCCAGTGGGCCAACCTTGATGGTGTTAGTTCTGGCTGTTAAGCACCTGCTACTTCCATGCCTCCTGAATACTATTTTTATTCCTAATCATTGGCACAGTCCAGAACTGGGTCCAAGGGGTGACCAGATTTGTCTGCCCACAGTACTACCCTGCATCCTCAAGTTAAAGCTATTGTCACTGCCATAGTTCTCCATTTCAGCAGTATCTAGAACTGATGCTAGACTGCCCTAAGAACCCAGGAACGGCTAAGTAGCCTTTGTAATGAAGAAAGAGTATACCTATTGTGATGCTACAAAACCTGTTATGATGCTACCCTTTTACCAGGAAGTCCATGGAAACCAAAACTCCTCTCAGAGGTGACCAGTAACTTCTTAATTGCCACATTGACACTGTCTACTCTCTCTCTCTTAATAGCCTTTCCTTCCTTCCTTTTCTTCAGTAATATCAAACTCTTTGGTTCTCTTCCAACTGTTGCTTCTCTCTCTTCACTTGTTCCTTGTCTACTTCGTGACCTCTTAATATGACTGTTCTTATATGTACTTGATCTTCTTTTCTCCCTTGACAACCTCATTCACTCTCATGGTTTCAGCTACCATCTTGATGTAGCTTTTTACATATAAAACCTATTTGGAAGCGAAGGAAGTAACATGAGGTACTTTACTATTTTGCTTATACTTGACCTTACCTTCTTTCTTCTTTCCTGAAAATTTATTTAACAAACATTTACTGAGCAACTACTATGTAGTAAGCACAAGGGACATAAAATATTGTATAGGAGATAGGACACATCATGCTGCCTTGAATTGCAGTTGTTTGCAAGTGATTAAAGAGGTACTAGATGTAAAATATCACTTCTACCTGGGATGGTCAGGGAAAGCTTTGTGAAGGAGGTAACATTTGAGCAGGACTGTGAAGAATGGGCTGAAATTTGGCATGAACAAAGGTGCCAAAATAGGAAAACTTGAGGCACATTTGGGGAATAGCAAGAAGCTTGATGTGATTGGAGCATTTATAATAGGAGTTAGGACTATAGTAGGAGGAGATGAAACTGGATATATGGGCTGTGGATGTCCAAGACCTTGAATACCAGGTCTGACAAGTTTATACTGAATATACTAGTAAAGAAGAGCACTTGAAAGTTTCAGATAGTAAAGGGACATGATAAGACCTATGGCTATTTAAGATTAATTTGGCGGTGATGTTTAAATAAGTTGGCAAGCAAGGAGATTGTTAAAAGGCTGGTAATCTAGGCATGAGCTGGTACTAGGTTTGGGAGAATGGAGGGGATGGAACAGAATCTATGGAAGTTTAAAAGAAGGAAGTGGAAGTGCTCCAGTGACTCATGGCAAAGCGGAAAGGAGGAATCACTCTGGGAAAGAAGATTCATTTTGAATCTGTTCCATGTCAGGTTATGGTCCAGACAGAAATGCAAGTAAATACAGAAACCTAGGCTACATAGCAAACTAATACTTAATATACATTAGAGTAAAAATGTGTTGATACTTATTGTAATAGCAATCTAATTGACTACTGTAATTCATAGCTGTGAATACCTAATAGCCTTGGCTCCTAGAAATTTAAAAAGAGAAGTTTCTCAACCCAAATTAGACTAAGTCCCTAGAATATGTTTGTAGAATATGTTCAGGAGATAGGTCTATCACCTTTAGGATCTTCCCCCAGGTCACCTTGCCACTGAATAGTGCCTTAGGGCTCTTTTATCTCTTGCCTGGATTTTCCTAAGGGAATAAAGCCCACCCTTTTCTTTCTTTCTTTTTTTTTTTTAAAGATGTTCATTCTCCTTTGATTTCTGCCCACACACATCTTCAGGTCACTCTTAAAAACTTCCTATGCCATGAGCTTACCATGCCATTTCATGTCCAAGCTTTCAAGAATGTTGCCTCTACTACGTCACCATCAACTCCTTATAATTTGGCTTCTCCTCTGTTCATTCTGTTGAAACTGCTTTTTCATAGCTCACTTAATTTCCAGTTGGCCTCTTTTTCCAGTTTTATCCTTGACTTTTCTGTAATACTTGATACTAGAGACCACTTCATAAAAACCTTTCCTCCTTTGACTTCCAATCCCATTACTCGACCTTGTTCTCAGCTTGCCTCTGACTGATTATCTTTGTGCTAGACTGCTTCATTTGCATTCCCCACTAGAAATTCAACCTCAGCATGTTTAAAACCAAATTTATTGTCTTCTTCTTTGTGCCTCTCTCTTATTACTCCCACCAAACCAGCATTTCCTTTTAATTTTTTTGCCTAGGAGAATGATGGTATCTTTTCAGCCTTATTTCCCATTACACTGCTTCTTTTCATACACGCTACTAACAGATTAGTCTTCCTCATGATTTTTTCATTGGGTCACTTCTCAAAAGTTTAATTCCATTTTGAAACTTTCTTTTTTTAAAATGATTTTGATAAACACATATATTTCTGTATACAAATAAGACCAACAAAAAGGGGTCACATACAAAATTATGAATCTTTATGATAGCTAGTTTTGTTTAAAGTATGTATAAACTGGACATGGTAATATCAATACTGCTTTGCTTGTCTGTATCCTTTTCTGAACTTCCTTCTCTTTTTTTAAAAAATGTTTCATTGATACAGTTTTCTTTATTGCATCACTATCTTCTTTCTTTTGCTTTATCCGTCTTCTGTTTTATCCCAACTTTCTTTTTTTTATTTTATTTTTTTCCCCCAACTACATGTAAAGACAATTTTTAACATTCATTTTTTTCCCTCTCTCACCTCCCCGCTACCTTGGAGAATAAGCATTTTGATAAAGTTTATACATGTTCACTCATGTAAAACATATTACCATATTAATCATGTTGTGAAAGAAGATATAGACCCAAAAGAACACACACACACACACACACACACACACACACACACACACATGCACACACGAAAATGAAAAATAGCGTGTTTCAGTCTGTATTCAGACTCCCTTAGTTCTTTCTCTGGAGGTAGATAGTATTTTTCATCATGAGTCCTTTGGAGTTGTCTTGGATCACTGTATTGCTGAGAAGAACTAAGTCATTCACAGTTGATCATCGCACAATGTTGCTCTTACTGTGAGTACAGTGTTCTGGTTCTGCGCACTTCACTTTGCATCAGTTTGTGTAAGTCTTTCCACTTACTTATCCCAACTTTCTACCAGACTAAAATCTTCAATTCCCTCAACTCATCCTCATCCAGCATAATTTCTTGGCTCTTCATTCCAGTCATTTGCCTCTGGATGCGTACCAGCTTCTTAGTGTCCTTCCTAAAATGAGACCCTGAACTAAACCCAGTATTCCAGATATAATCTGGTCAGGGCAGAGTGTAGCAGGACTTTCCCATTCCCACTTGTGTATGGTACACCTTTCAATACAGTTTAAGATCTCATTAACCTTTTTGTCTGCCATATAGACTTCTTTTGAATTTTGCAGTCCATTGAAATCCCAGCTGTTTTTCACATGGATTGCTATCTAGCCTGGCCTTTATCTTAGATTTGTGAAGTTGAATTTTTCAACCCAATTTTAAGACTTCACATTTATCTATGACAGAAATAATTGCACTTTATATACTTGATCCTTACAGTAACCTGTGAGTTAAGTACCCATTTTATAGATGAGGAAACTGAGGCTCACAGAGGACACATGATTTGCCCACAATCACACTCATACATTTACTACTACTACTACTACTACTACTACTACTACTACTACTACCACCACAACCACCGCCACCACTACTACTACTACTGAGTTGTATAGGCATGATTTGAATGCAAGTCTCTTCTGACTCCAGTTCTAGTTTTATACCAGGGGTTCTTAATCTTTTCTGTATCGTAGATGCCTTTGACAGTTTGTTAAAGGTTATGAACCTCTTCCCAGAATTATGTTTTTGCATGTATAAAATACATAGGATTATTGAAACACAATTATAAAAATATTTTTAAAAACAAATTCATAGACCCCAGATTAGGAAGCTCTGCTCTATTAACAGTGGAGATCCATTGAAGACTTTTGAAAAAGGGAATAAAAATCACATTAATGCTTTAGGAAGATCTACCTGGCAACATTGTGCACCTAAGTTTGGAGCAGAGAGAGACTGGAGGGGGGGTTCAGGAGATTCTGGAGTACTACTGTAGTAATCCTCATCAAGAAAAACTGGTTCTGAACTAAGCTGATGAGATTACAAGGTAAGGGTCATCTATTCCAAACAAGAATTGTGTAGATTTTCATCTCCTTGACATTGACTAGTACATTATTTGCTCAGCAAATATTTGATGAGTTGAACTGTAAATAAGCTCTATTCATCTGACATGCTACTTTCATGTGAGAAAATTTTGATTTTTCCAGTTTTTCAGTCCCTAAAGTGATCTGATTTTCAAGGAGGGTGTATTTCCTTTCCCTGTATTCTGTTTTTCTGCTTCTCCTTACTCAGATATTTAATTCCCGAAAAGCTTGTACCTTTCTTCCTTCTGTGACACATGTCCTCATAGTACTCTTTTTTTTTAAGAAGCATGTTGCAGTGGAAAGAGCATTTGCTATAGAGTCAGACCACTTCAATGTAGATCCCTCATCTGATGCTTAGTACCTGTGTAACCTTGGCCAAGTCACTAGGCCTCTGTTTCTTTATCTGTAAAATTCTGGGGAAGGATTGGGCTCTGTGGCCTCTGAGAACCTTTCTAACTCTAGATTTATAATCCTAGGTTAGATAAGACTGGTATGAGAAGGATGTGGGAGGTAAAAAAGTACAAATTAAACATTATTTTAAGTTTTAAAATAAAATGTAACCATCATTCAGAGATGGCTGTTGCATGAACAAATACATCTTCAGCTGGTGAAGGGACTTTATTTGATGACTATAATTACATTGATCTGTTTTTGAATTTTAAATGCAAAATTTTTTCATCAGTGAAAGCCAATACTGATGCTTTATGTTGTTTCCATAACTGCTTTGTAATTTTAAAAATGAAAAAGTTTAAGTTTCTACAATTTATTTTATGATCTGTTATGATGTGTTTTAGGTAAAGTAAAGAATCCTGAATGGAACAGAAATGAAATACCACATAGTTGTGGTGAAGTTTGTAGAAGGAAACAACCTGGCCAGGACTGTCCACATTCATGTAACCTGTAAGTTTATATTATAGAAATCTAAAGAATATTAAGGAGTATTTGTGGTTGTTAATCTTAGATCCTTGCGTCTTATTAATACTTAATTGGTGGAGGAAATGGAAATCTGCTTCTGCTAAGTAAAATCAAGCTAAATGACTTTTGGCTTGCAGACACTTTTTTTTTTTAAATCAGGACATTTGCCCTTTTCCAGCAGTACTACTCTCATTATTTTGCTGTATTTCTTCCAGCCACATAGAGTCCCTAGAGCCAGGATAATCTGTCTTCTGAGGCTGTACTTGTATTAATTGTGGACTTACTCTCTTCTTTGTTTACCTCTTAGGCTTTTCTTATCACAATTTTCCTTTTTGGTAGTTGACATTTTCTCCAATTAACTCATCTCCAGCCTTGGTTCCTGAATTGGGACTTTGTTCTAGGGCAGGGTGGATTTTGGCCCCTCTTACATGCTTGGATGATAGAGTTGCTAGGCCTTGGTATTATCCCTTCTGCAGTCCAGATGCTTCTGTGACTGCCCTGCCACAATGTTGGAAGGGAGTGGCTGGTTCTAGAGACCTAGGTACCACTTACCTCCCTACCTGTCTTCTGCCTTCACGTTCTGTGGTCTTATCACACTAGCCCCTGCCCTGTCTTCGTCTGCTATACAGTCACCAGCTGGAAGTTTGGTTTCTCTCCTAATGCAGTTCTCAGGTCCAGTACTGCATACTGGACTCCTAGCTGGTTTCAGGTCTCTTGGAGGACTGATGAGCATGTCTGGCCCACTGGTCTTCTTGATCCCTTGCTTCAGTCACCCAGTATCAGAAATGGCTCTGGTTTCAGACAAAAGCTTCTATCACTGCCCTTCCCAGCATGAGCTGCTTTTGAGTAGGGATTATTTCATTCTTTTTCCTTGCATCCCGGGGCCTAGGCACAGGGCCTGGCAAATAGGCATTCAGTATGTGCTTGTTGATTAAGTTCTTCTGTTCTGTTTGTCTCAGACTCCCATTGAGAATTGGCTTTGTCTCCTGCTGGGTTTCTGACAGGTGGACACTAAGCTCCCATTCACTTCAGACTTTCTACTAGAGATTGCAGTAGTTTGAGGCCCATGAGCATTTCTGGGCTAAATGGAGATTGCTAGTGTTTCTCTGTGGTTTTATTTATCATTGTTTGATCTGGCACCCTCTTAAATTTATGCTGGAGTATTTTGGTTCTTAAGGGAAATGGGCTTGTTTGTTAACCTTCCTGCCTTCATCTTTACTAGAAGTCTGCCCTCATCCTCCAGGATCTTTGAAAGATCACCCCAAGTGGCTCCATGATTACATTGGCTCAGTGGTCACATCTGCAAGGACTTTAAGAACTTGGAGATGTTGTTTTCTGGTCCTGGGATTGTGACTTCATCAGGGCCGTTTTCTGTTTCTCTCCTTACCCATCTTGGTTATCAACTCTGTATTAGACATTTTTGTTCTCTTTACATTGCAAAGGTCATTCTCCTTGGCAGAGAAAACAGAAGCAAAGTAAGAATTGGGCAGCTTCTCTTTTTTTCTGTTCCATCCATTTTTTCCATCATCTCCTCTCCAGTGAGCAGTACTACTTACTGTCTCTGCTTCAATTCTTCTTTATTCCTTCAGGAAGTTTTTTTTTGGTGGTGGGGGGGAGGCTAGGCAATGGGGTTCAGTGACTTACCCAGGGTCACACAGCTAGTGAGTGTTATGTGTCTGAGGCCGGATTTGAACTCAGGTCCTCCTGACTTCAGGGCTGGTGCTCTATCCACTGCGCCACCTAGCTGCCCCCAGGAAGCTTTTCTGAAGAACCTTTTTCCTTATCTTCCCCCACCAGTAAATCTCCAAGTCATTGTAGACTTCAGCATTCCTGAATCTCTTATTATGGAACAGTGCCACCCTAATGTCTTTATCCTCCTGACTCTCACCCTCTGTATGTCTTTCAAAAATCTAAATTGGTTGGTTAGTTCCCCATGTGTAGACTTCATTCTCTTTAGAGAGCTGCCCCTTTTTTCTCATGGGAATTGTTTATCTTTGTGTTTTAATGATGTCATTCTTAAGAGTTTCCTTTCCTTCCTGGGATGATCTCCCCTCATAGAATTTTAGTTCATTGCGTGCTACCCTATTTTTCTATAACCTTTGAAATCTGCTTTCCTAAAATTTAGGTTGCGTGTCAGTCTATGACTAACTTGGTCCATTCTTACTAATTCTAAAATGGAGTGGCCACTATCATCTCAGGCTCTCACCGTTTCCAACACAGCATCTGATTCATCCTTATTGATAAGAATCTAATTTAGAACTTCACTTCAGTGGTTCCTTTGCCTTTTAAAGGAAGGAAGTATTAGTAAAGCAAATGAAAAAAATTATTTGCTTTTGTACTTTAGACAAGGCGCACCAGCATTTTTCTGGATAGTTAAAAGTCCCGTTTATTCTGTACCAGTCTTGTAATCTATTCCGTATATTCTTCATCTTTTTCTTCTTTTATCATACTATCAATATGCTCTGATAACTATTACTTTTCTTTCTACAGCTTTTATCTGCCAAATATTTTCCACCTTGCTTCCCCCTTCTTTTTCTTAGATTCCCTCACATTAATTTGTCATCTTAATACACAATGCTGCTACTCTTCCTTTTTACCTACCTTGTTTTGTTGGAAAAAGGGATACTCTCCAGTGATGAGTCCTATCCCAGAAAGTCTCAGAGGTAGCTGTGCGATCAAACTTGCTTCCCATCATCAGGATTTTTAGTTTGTCTTGTTTGTTACTCAGACTTTGTGAGTTTTGTATATCGACATGGGTTTTATTTTTGTTTCTTTTCTTGGATTTGTTTCCTGTGAACTTCTGGGGAATCTATATTGGTATTCTTCTTACATTGTAGCCAGTCTCTATGGTATCTGACTTGGATATATGTGGGAAGCTTTTTCTCTCCTCCTTCCTTTTTAGTTTAAAGCCCTTTTAATTAGATTTTCAAGATAACAGGCAATTATATTTTTAGGTATACTTCATCTTTAGCCAGAAGGCTGCCATTTCTATATTCGTCTGGAACAGGAGTTCCTAACCTAGGTCTTGTAAAGTTTTTGGAGAAAAAAATTTTGGTGACTATATTTCAGTATAATTAGTTTTCTCTGTAATCCTATTTATTCCATATTATGCATTTAAAAATGCTATTCTGAGAAGGAGACGATAGGCATCACCAGACTGTCAGAGGGGTCCGTGACACAAAAAAGCTTAACAACCACTGCTGTAGAACAAGTCCCACATTCAGGCACCAGCTTCTTAGTCAACTGTTCACTTCCCAAATCTGTCTTTATCTTCTGAAGTTTTGGCTTTGTTTGGCATCAGTGAATTATTTTTTCACATCATATTTTTTAATCAAAAAAAGGGTACACCCAACTTGATGACTCTATTAGACAGACTTGGCTCCTTTGGTCTATTTATAAAAATCAAAGCCAGCCTTAGAGGACAAATGTTTTCCCAGGTGGAGGATATTCAGAAAAATATGCCAAGATCAATTCCAAAAATAATATTTTGAATAATTGTAATACACAGGTAACCTCTTGGTGGTTCCTACTTTGAAGGAGATAGTGCTTCTTTGAATATGCAACTTTGGGCATATTAATTTTAAAAATCACTCATTATCTTAATATCATATCTCATATGTAAAATAGTAAAGCCAGAGGTCAAAATTTTGGCATTGTAGCACAAAATTAGCCTCTTTCTCTTCCCTTGAGTCCTTTTCTCCCACTATGACTTGTATTGTCACCCAACTATTATTCCCTTTTTTTGGTCTTTGAATCCTTGTTAACAACTCATCTGTTGGGTCTTCTCTTCACTTCCTAGTTGAGTAAGTGGCCCGTAAGAGATTTTGTGTTGTATAAAATGGGCCTAACTCTGAGCAGCCTAAAGAGCTTCAGTGATCACTGGAAGTCTGGGAAAGTGTTTTTATGATCATGGATCTCTGTGATATTGATGGTGTATTTCTTGTTTAAACAGGAATCAAGAGTAGACAAATTCTGATTGGATACTTTAAATAGTAAATATGATTTGCTGTATCACTCTTTTATAATAGAATTTATGGGGGTTGCTAGTGAATTAACTATGAAAATAATCCTTTGTTCATTGAAGTATTTCTCTTTAAGTCTTTGCCATCCAGGACCTTGCCCATCGTGCCCTGCCTTTATGACTAAGACATGTGAATGTGGACGAACAAGGTGAGATTAGAATTTTGCTTTATAGAAGAAAAATTATTTTCATGTTAATCTCTTCTTGTGAATTTAAGCTATATTGTAAAATATAATAGGTCATGAAAGCAGTCTGTTCATAAAGTATAAATTGCTTATTTGTTTTATTCTAATTTTTATAGCAGCAAAGTACATTGGGTTTTCTAGGATGTTTTGAGCACTGTTTCACTAAGTCAGCAAAAATATGTGGATAAATATGCCCACAGGATCCATGCACAGTCAGTAAATTGGTCTGTTTTTATCTGTTTTGACACTCTTATTCACAAATCACTTGAGTATGTGTAGGGGCTGTGATTTTGTAGGTATAGGAACTTTTGGCTTGGGAATTGCCTCCAACACTGCACCTGTAACCTGAGAATACCTCACTGGAGGCTCAGAGACGTTATGTGGCTTGTCCCTAGCTGTCAAGTGACGAGGAGGATTTCAACTCTGATCTTCCTGACTTCAAGTACTATACTTTTTCTCCAAGACCATACTGCCTACTGTTTATTTGTAATAATTTTTAAAACGTCCTCAGTGTTTAAAAAAAATACCAGTGGGAATTGCCTTGAGAATGAAATATGGCCAGGATGAAAGATCATTTTTCTGTGTTCATAACTCATATTTACATGACATTTTCTGATTGTATTATCTGACTCAGCAGTCCTATGGGTGAGCAGTACAATTATTATCTGCATTTTGCAGATGAAGAAATAGACTCAGATAAGTGGCTTGTATAAGTAAATGGCAGAGCTTGGTCTCAATCTCAGCTGTTCCAAGTCCAAATCCAGTTCTTTTTTTATGAAGATATGTTATCGCTAATCAACCATCAGTTGATTGTAACAAAGACATGGACACAGGAACAGTTTGCTGGGTTTTTTTCTCATCAGTAGAAATGAAGCAGTTGACAGATATTAGCTATAAGGCGCATTATTAAGTGAAGGCCTGAATGACTTCCAGCACATTCAAAAGACAGTTTACTTTTTATTCAGTAGAGGATCCTGGTCTAAATAAGTTTAATCCAGCGATCTCTGTAACAGATTTAATTGAATGTATCTTTGAGGTCTATAAGAATATGTATCCTTAATGACTTTGTTGAGGGTGCGTATATATTGTTCAAATTCATAAGAAGTAAAAGAATAATTAAACCTTTGAATAGTCATCCTGAGCACTTATATTCTCTAGCTTTGAAGCTAGGTGAGTCACTTAACCTCTGCAGATCTCAGGCATCCTCCTAAGACGTATATGTTATGTCATGTCATATCATAGAAACATTACGTAAGTATTACATGACATAACATCCTGACATGTTATGTTAAAGAGGGAATTCTTTACAAAAGGGGAAATCACAGATAGTTCACAAGGGAGGTTAGATAGTACTGTGAAGATGGCATGCCAGTAATAGAATTGAAAATATAAGAGCTAAAATATCTGTGCAGTCTGTAGAATAGTTCATGCAAGCAACATCCAGATAATTGGCACTCACCAGCCTGTCTCTTTCATTGGCCCAGTTTTCTCAAAGTTTATGTATCCCAAAGAAACTTTGACTAACCAAAATCCTGAGTATGGATGAGTTGCTATCAATGTACAAATAGAGTAGCTACCACAAGTTGTGGACCTATGTTCTGTGAGCCTTGAAGAATTTGGACTGGCTAAAGGAACAGTTTACTACAAGGCACCCTTCCCAGAGGGTGATAGGGAACAGGGTTTGACGTGTGCTTTCATTGATGCAGGGAATTCCTGCATATGGAAATCCCCTGTAGCAATACAGGTAAGTACCTCCTATGCAACCTACAGTCTTAAGAGAATCATGCACTGAGAGGTTAATTGACTTGCCTAGGGTCACTCAGACAGTATGTCAGAGGCCAGACTTGAATCCAGGTCTTCTCTGGGACTTCTCTGTTCACTACACCACACTGCCTTTGTACCTTCGCACAAGATATTTTAAATACATGTGACTTAATTTGAGCAAACTTGATACACAAAAATCCAAACATGTGAAACAGATTGATTAGGAAGTTGTTACTGTTTTATAAGAGGACTCTTTACTTCTCTGAAGAATAAGAAAATCCCATAATTGGAAGAGGCATTTGGATTTAAGTAATCTATCTCTTAGCAACTCTACATTACAGCATCTTTGCCAAGTTGTCCGGCTTCTACTTAAACACCTCCATTGGTGGGGGCATGTGTTTATGAAGAAATGCATATCTTTTTCTGACAACTCTAATTCTTAGGGAGCTCTACCTTATATTGAGCTGAAATCTGCTTCCTTGTAATTTCTACATATTGGTCCAAGTTCATTTTTCTAGAGCCAAAGAAATTAAGTCACCTTTCCATATTCAGATATTGGAGGTCAGCTATTAAATTTCCCCTAAGGCTTCTCTTCTTCAGGCTTAGCATTCCTAATTCCACAACCATTCCTTATGTGGCATGGTTTTAAGCCCCTTACTATCCTTATGGGTCTCCCAGACACTCTTACAGTTTATCAGCATGCCTGCTATAATAGCTTCCAGGACTGAAAAATAATACTATAAATGTAGTTTAACCAGTGGTACTCTTACTTTCCTTTTTGTGGATAATATACCATCAATGCAACCTCATTATCCCTTTTAGCAGATACTTCACACTGCTGACTTTTTTAGGTTGCTTTCAAGTCAACAACAACAACAATAACATACATACATTGTCTTTTGTATATAAACAGCTTTCTACTTACATGTCCCCTACCTTGTGTTTTTTTAGTTGTTGGTTTTTTTTTTTAACCTAAGGAAAGAAACTTTTTTTTTTAAAGTTTAGAGATATTCTGTTTCTTTCATAGTATAGTATAGTACAGTTATCCCTTCCATTTTCCAGACATTATTTAATTGGAAAAGTATGTAGTCAATGCCTTCATTGATTAAACATGGCCAAGAATAGCATCTTATGTTGTGGTCACTAGAAACCTCGTGTCCAGATGGACATCAGTCCTTTAATAATTACAAATCAATCATTTTCACCTTTGTTCCACTCACATTTCTTACCTGTGCCTATGATTATATAAAAGACTTGTGAGATGCCTTGCTGCAGTGCAGGCATTGTAAATGTGTGGGATGCCTGCTCCCAATCATCTTCTAAACTAGGACTTGCATGGATGTGCCTTAGGCAGAGTGGGCCTCCCTTAACCAGAGCTAATCATATCCTTCATAACTTGTCTGGGCTTCTCATCCATATTCTATAATCTTCCAAAAGAGAATCACCCAACATCCTGGTTCTCTTAATGTCTTAGGAGAACCCCTCAGGCTGTCCATTTGGTGCTTTTCATTATTGCTATATGACTAGCCAACCACCTTTTGTACTTATACATGTCCTTGACTTATTTTAGGGCACTTTTCACACACATGTCCTTGTTAGAATGGGCTGCTGTCTGGTTTCCCCCATAATGGGGGACCCTTGGGTCACCTGCAACTTTAAGACTCCGGATCCTGATGTTCCATGATTCACACTCCTCACAGCTCGCCTTGAAAACTAAGGCAGCAGGTGTCTACCTAGTCTACTTGTTGGCTACCTTCTACATCCTAGTTGCTTTCACGCGTTGGGATGCTGCATTACCATGGTTACCGTCAAGCATAGGGAAGGGTATAATTTTGTGAGCACAATAAGTTCGGTAAATTACATTTTAGAGAAATACATATTGTATAAGTTCACAAGAGATAGCTGGGGGTGTGGGGAAAACGTGCCATGTTAGCTATCAGAGGCCCTGAGTCATTGTCTGGTTCTGTTATTTATTAGCCCTGTGGCTTTGGGCATGTCACTTATGATTTCTCAGTCTTCAAGTTGATGAACTCTCAGGTCCCTTTCAGTTTTCTGTGATCTACTGATCTTTCAAGTTGAATATTTAGAAATTATAGGGTGAGGTGGAAAGGAGAGAAATGGAGAAACATTAGGATGCTACAGATAGGATTAGGAAGAGAACTCTAAGATTTTTGGTAAATGTTATGTCATGTTCACTTGGATTATAGTCTTTGTAATTTTTAAGTAGTATTAATTGGAAGTGACATATTTGCTAAAGTGATATTTTTTATGTCCAGTCATTCAGTTCGCTGTGGTCAGTCCAACTCAATTCACTGTTCTAATGTGTGTGGCAATATTCTGAATTGTGGTAAGCACAACTGTGCCGAACTTTGCCATGCTGGTGAATGCCAACCATGCCATCTTGTAGTACGTCAAGGTAAGTTTTTATTCTCTTACTATTTCATTATCGTGTAATTTTCTGAGAATGCCACATGATTGTTGTTCTATTGTTAAGATTTTTCCATTACTTTCTGTCAAAATTTATAAGGATTACAAAACAGAACGAAGGCTTATTTATCCTGAGAGTGCTATTTATGACTTGTTTTTATGATATTCTTAATCTAATAGCATCTGCCTTTTTTCTTTAGTAAACACAAAGAATGAAATTAGAAGTTTTTTTTAAAGTTCTAAAGGTCCTAATAGCCACATTTCTTTTCTTTAAAAGACATGTAAGCTGTCATTACAGATTTGCATATTGAAATTTTTAAAACATAAATATTTAGCTAACAGAACTTGTCAGGTTCATGGGTTTTTTTTGTTTGTTTTGTTTTGCTTTGTTTTTGCCAAGGCAGCTAGATTGAAAAGGTAGATAAATTGATGGAACAGATGAATCATATAGCTTTATATAATATTGCTATATAGTATTGCAGTGTTAGCAGGAGCATAAGTCCTTTAACATGAAAAAAATTAATTGCTAGGTGCAGGAAACTGAGCCCTGAATTTCTTGAGCCTTTAGCATTAAAAAAGTAATAATTTAGACTGGATTCATGTTATAACATTATAGAAGCAATACTTTTATTTTATTCATTGGAAATTCACATGTGACTATCTAAAATTCTGAGATAGTGAAAAATAAATGAATAAGATTTTATATCAGAATGCTTTAGTGTATTTATCACTGCAGTAACATGATTAGAACTTTTAATTTTATAGAGATGTGTTGGCCTCTTACTATAATGCTATCTTTGAGAATGTTGTTATTGATGAAAGTGTTATCTAACATGATTCATTTAGTATTGCCAGTAATCTTTTTTTTAATGAGGCTGTCATTGTAAGAAGTTACCAATAAGGATCTTTCTCTACCAATGTCCCTTCTCTGCAATTTAGAGTGTATTTTCAGTTATGAACTCCTTAACCACCAGGGACTAAGATGGACTTGTCTTATACCAAAATCTTTGTAGGTTCTACTGTAACGAAACACCAATAAATATTTTTTGTGTTTTTCTGGGTAGCTTAAGATTTTCTACGTCTCCTTTTCAAAAAATTGTTTTTGTTGTGTTTATCGTGTTGAAACTTATTTTTGAAATTATTTTGTTAAAGTGTGCTACTGTGGGGTCACTTCCCAAGATGTATTATGTGGAACCAATGTTGGACAGTCTGATGAATTTGGAGACTTCAGCTGTTTAAAGATATGTGGCAAGTAAGGCTTTATTTAATCATAAATATAAGCAGTAAAATTGTATGTTATTAATAGTCATGTAATATTCTATTGTTTTTCTTAACAGGAAATTGAAATGTGGGAACCATACATGTTCACAATTATGCCACCCTCAGGCCTGCCAACTGTGTCCACGACTTCCACAATTAGTGCAAACTTGCCCTTGTGGTCAGACTCCTCTTAGCAAATTACTAGAACTTGGATGTGTTGAACGTAAAACATGTTTGGATCCTATACCATCATGTGGGAAAATATGTGGCAAACCTCTGTCGTGTGGCTCCTTTGGTAACTAAATGAAATTCATTATCTTTAAATGTGTTGGCAATGTGAAAGATCCATGTGGAATATCACATTTTAGTAGATGGATGTTTCTATAAGTATTTGAAAGAAATTGTCAAGGTACCATTTTCTTTCCAAACACACACAGCTCTCTAAATTGTATCCCATTTACTTAAATAATTTCCCAAATAATTACTTATAAAATTGAGTAATTGTGCTATGATAATGTTCCAGGTGGAGCTATAATTTCTCTCAGCATACTCCATTGTTATAAGCTCTTCTGAGTATAAGACCTCAAGATTCCTTGGATAATCAGTGTTTTAGAAGATTATATTTAACCTTGGGCAAAATGGCTGTGGATATCTTGTAAACAAATCTAAATCCCAGATAGAGTTGAACTATGGCTATTCTGCTTCCAGCAGACACATTGTAAAAAAGATCCTTGGAGGTGAGATTGATATAGTCACTGTTTTGTAAATCATAGAAAAGATAGATAAGAGATACTGGGTCTCATAGAGATAATGAGACATGCCATATTGGAAAAGATCAAAGTTTGAGAGTTCATGGCACATCACTGGTAATAAATTTTATTGATGCCATTTCAGTCCTGTTGATGGGTGTTCTCTGAGACACTGTGTAAAATGTTATGTGTGGTATAGTGGACAGAGAAGCCAGAAAGAGCTGGTTTTGAGTACTCCCATTGATCACACTGGCTGTGTGACCCTGAGCCCATCACTTAATTGACATTTCTCTAGTTAATTCTCTGACTCTGAATTGTAGAAAAGCTGATCAGTTTTGGCAGAGGGTGATTCCTCACTCGGGGCTTCCCCATAGCAATGAAATCACAGGTCCAGTCCTTGTCCCTACCCCTGTTAGTAGCAGTAGTAGTAATAGTAGAAATTTTGAAAGTTATAGTGAGAAGCAGGTGGGAGACTTCTTTCTTTCTTTCTTTCTTTCTTTCTTTCTTTCTTTCTTTCTTTCTTTCTTTCTTTCTTTCTTTCTTTCTTTCTTTCTTTTTTGTATTTATTTAGTATTTTTTCCTCCAGTTACCTGTAAAAACAGTTTTTAACATTTGTTTTTAAAACGTTGAATTCTAAATTCTCTCCTTTCCTTCCTCCCCACCCACCCTTGTTGGGAAGGCAAGTAATTCGATATAGATTATACGTGTGTAGTTATGCAAAACATACCATAATAGTCATGTTGTGAAAGAAAACAGACAAAAAAAAACCTCAAGAAAAATGAAGTAAAATTTTAAAAAGTATGCTTTAATCTGTATTCAGACACCATTAGTTCTTTCTCTGGGGATATATAGCATATTTCATCATAAGTCCTTCAGAGTTGTCTTGGATTGTATTGCTGAGAATAGCTAAATTATTCACAGTTAATCATCTTGCAGTATTGCTGTTACTTTGTACACAGTACATTACACTTTGCATCTGCCTATGCAAGTCTTTCCAGGTTTTTCTGAGGGCATCCTGTTCATCATTTCTTATAGTGCAATAGTATTTCATCATAATCATGTAGAACAGCCATTCCCCAACTGATGGGCATTCCCTCAATTTCTGATTCTTTTTATTTTTTTTTTGGTGAGGCAAAAGTTAAGCAACTTGCCAAGGTCACATAGCTAGGAAGTGTCAAGTGTCTGAGGCCAGATTTGAACTCAGGTCCTCCTGATTCCAAGGCTGGTGCTCTATTTACTGCATCACCTTAGCTGCCCCAATTTCTAATTCTTTACCACCAGAAAAGAGTTGCTGTAAATATTTTTGTACACATAGGTCCTTTTCTTTTTTGTTTTTTATCTTTTTTGGGATACAGACCTAGTGGTGGTATTGCTAGTTCAAAAGGTATGCATGGCTTTATAGCCCTTTGGGCACAGTTGCAAATTTCTCTACAGAATGGTTTGGGAGACTATTTCTTTAAAGTTTTTCTGGATCCCTTGGATAATTTCAGTCCTTAGGAGATAGGAATTGGGCCAGGCTGTACTTTGAGACGCTCCTAAGGTCTTACTAAAATACTTTTGAGATCAGTACATTTACGGAGAGGAGAATGACTCAACTGTATGACAGACAACTATGTGAGTATATGCCTATGGTACAACCTCATCCAGCCCTCACTTAGTTGGATTTGTATATTACGTAGGTCTTTTTGTTTGCAGTTTGTTCTGAGAGGGAGGGAGGTTCCCCTCCCCAGTCCCATAGATAGCTCCAGTACAGCAAAAGAAATGTTCCTGTTAAGTGTTTGCCAACCTTGACTTAAGCCCTATCAACAATGGAGCTTTCTCCCTCACAAAATAGCCCTTTCAGTTTGTGAGTCTGCTCTGACAATTACAAGATGCTCCATGTCTGTTTGGCTGCTAATGCCTGGTTGACTATGAGGCTTGAACAATGTTTTACCGGGTTGCAGTAAATCCATAGAAGGCTGAGGTTGAAGGAAACACAATTTAACTCATAAATTGCCTGGGGATCAGATGGTGTCATGATGGAAGGGAAATCAGAAAGAGAGCCTTGGATTTCTGCAAAGGTTCTGGGGCAGGGGTGGGGGACCTGTGGCCTTGAGGCCACATATGATCCTGTAGGTCCTTAAGTGCAGCCCTTTGACTGAATCCAAACAGATGTTCTGCAAACTATGGATTCAGTCAAAGGGTCATACTTGAGGACCTAAAGGGCCACATGTGGCCTCCAGGCCGCAGGTTCCCCACCCCTGTAAATCTGGGGTATTTCCCAGGGAGGTGGGAGAAACTGAATTGGGGGTGTTGTCCAAACTCTTCTTTGCCTGTCATCTTGATAAGGAAATAGAGCAGATTTGGGATGGATATAGGTAAGTAAATTTGGGGGTATGTGAATAGTTTTTTTTTTAATTGTGGAGTGAAGGTTTGGGGGTTTATTGTCTTACAGGATTATAAAATTATAGATTTAGAGCTAGAAGAGATCTTAGAAGTCTTGTAGTCCTGCTCTCATTTTATAGATATAAAAATGAGGCCTGTAAGAGAAAGTAATTGCCCTAGGGTCACATAAGTAGTATTTATTTTATTTTTAATGTTTTATTTATTTCCTTTGTCTTTGTGTTGTATCCCTCCCCCATGAAACCTTCTTGTTAAAGAAAAACAAGCAAAAAATCTAATCTAGTGACTGCATCTGACAGTGGAGTATTGTTTTCTAATAATCCCCCTTTTTACTTATTAGGTATTATCATTTTAAAAAATTACAGTTTGACTTGTCTAAGCAGTGAAAAAATTTTAATGTGAGATTTTAATTTTTATTAGATTTCATTCATACATGTGAAAACCTCTGCCATGAAGGAGAATGTGGACCTTGTTCTCGCACATCCATTATTTCCTGCAGATGTACTTTCAGAACAAAGGTAAATTCAAAAACACTCATTTCAAATTATTGCTACAGATATGTTTTCTGTCATATCAGCAAAACTGAAAAAGAGCTGCTTTGACTCATGCCATACTCACTATCAGTTGTTTTTACTGTATTAAAAAGGAATAGGATCTTGAAAGTTTTGTCAGAATTTTCAGAAAATCAAGTTAGTATTCTTTATTATTGAAATTTTTATTTTTTTTTGTGTGCTCTTTTTCAAGGAAAATAAAATGATAATTATTTTTGCAGATAGGAGAAAAATTAGGTGCTCTATGGTCAGAGTGTGTGGGATCAGAGTGTATGGGATACCTCAGATATTGTGAATAATTATGGGAGATGCTCCATCCAGTTTGTGACTTGGACAGGCCTCTTAAGATCTTCCTGCTGCCTGCTTATTTTGTACTACCAGACTGTACACAGAGGCGAAGATACAGTTTAAGTCTGTTGACTTTGTCTTGTTCAAAAGCTCTAGTGGAGGTGGAAGTTTTAACTATAAAAATTATTAGTCGATACTAGAAATCTAGGCTCATAAGATCTTAGATTTAGAACTGAAAAGAGGTACCTCAGAAGCTTACATTACAGATGAGGAAACTGAGGGCCAAAGAGATTAAGTGATTTGGTGGAATGTCACATAGATGACAAAATCAGGATTTGAACTTGGAGCTTCTCTCTTCTAGCTGCATACTAGCCCTGAGCTGTTCCTTGTTAATACCACTAATCACACCTTTTTTCTTTTTTTTGGTCCAGACTTTTGTTTTTATTGATGTGCAGATCACATCAATAAAGTAGAAACTTTCTGTTTTTTATTCCTGTAGAAATTCTCTGCAGCTATGCAGACTGGCAATTCCATCTCTATATCCTAGAGAATAACCTGGAAACTTTAGCGTTATCATCCTTATAGTTACCAAGGTTCAGAACCTCTGAGTAATCCTTATTGTTTCCTCCTCTTCCCTTCTCCCCATTATTATTCAGTCCACAGGTCTTATTCCTTCTACTTCTATGATGTCTGCCATTCATTCCTTTCTCTCCACTTATCTGGTCAGTGCCTTGACTGGGGCCCTCACTATCTCTCAAAGCTAGGCCTGGAATCAGGAAGACCTGAGTTCAAATTCTGCCTATGTATATGACTCTGGTTAAGTCACAACTCAATTCAAACTGCCTCGGTTTCCTCAGTTGTGGACATAATAGCTAGCACCTACCTACTTAATAGGGATGTAATAGCACCTACCTCCCAGGGTTGTTGTGGCAATCAAATGAGATCATATTTGTTAAGCACTTAGCCATTGCTTGGCATGTAGTAAGTAGAGAGGCTTATGTAGCTTAGAGGATAGAGCACTGGCCTAGAGTCAAGAAAAACTGAGTTCAGATCAAACCTTAGTACTAGCTATGTGACCCTGGGCTAGTCACTTAACCTTTCTTTGCCTTAATCCACTGGAGAAGGAAATGGCAAGCCCCTTCAGTATCTTTGCCAAGAAAACCCCATGGACAGTATCGGCATGCTGTGGTCCACAGGGACACAAAGAGTTGGACATGAACAACGGCAGCAAATAGTAGAAGCTTAATAACTGCTTGTTCTGGGGCGGCTAGGTGGCACGATGAATAGAGCTCTGGCCTTGGAGTCAGGAGGATCTGAGTTCAAATCCAGCTTCAGATACTTAACACTTATTAGCTGTGTGACCCCGGGCAAGTCACATAACCCCTCACCATCACCAAAAAGCAAAAACAGAACAAAACAAAACTGCTTGTTCCCTCCTTTCCTTCGCTCCCTTCAGGGTCTCTATGTATCTTTGTAAGTCATATCCTTTATCATTAAAATTGTCTTTTCCTTTTCCCTGTGTCCCCAGCACTTAGCACTGTGCTAAGTGTATACATAGTAGATGCTTAATGAATGTTTACTGTAGTCATCTTCTAATTGACCTCCTGCCTTATATTTCTCCTGCCTGGAAGTTCATCTTCCACACAGCTGTTCATCTTTGTCCTGTCACTCCTGCTCAGGAAGCTTCTGTGATTCTCTTTTTCCTCTGACCTAAAAAACAAAATCTCCTTTCATTTAAGGCCCTTCACAACCTGGCTGCAACTTATTTTTCCAGCCTTATTTTCCATTCCTCCCTTTTACCTACTTGATACCATGATGTTCCATTGCCTTTGTACAGGTTGTCTCCATACATGGGAAGGATTACTTCTTCACCTCTCTCCCTTAGAATCTCTTATTTCCTGCAAAGTTCACCTCAAATGTTATCTCCTACATGAGACCTTTCCTAATCACCTCCCTCCCTTCTGCCAGCTCTCAGTGCCTCATTTGACCTCTGTGGTATTACTTTGTATATACTATATGCTTATAAACCTCTCTGGGATATGGGAAAATAGGGATACTAATCCACTGTTGATGGAGTTGTAAACGGCTCCAATCATTCTGGAGAAAAATTTGAAACTATGCCCAAAGGTTTATCAAACTGTGAATACCCTTTAATCCAGCAATACCACTACTAGGTTCATAGCTCTAGGAGATCAAAGAAAAAGAAAAGGACTTCTATGTAGGAAAATATGTATAGCAGCTCTTTTTGTGGTGTGAAAGAGTTGGAAGCTTGAGGGGATGTCTATCAATTAGGGAATGGCTGAACAAGTTATAGTATATGAATGTGATGGAATACTATTATCCTGTAAGTAATGATGAAGGTGATGCTTTCACAAAAATCTAGAAAGACTTACATAAACTGATGCAGAGTGAAGTGAACAGAACCAAGGGAACGTTGTACACAATAACAGCAATATTGTCAGGATAATCAACTGTGAAAGACTTAGCAACTCTGATCAATACAGTGATCCACTATAACTCTAAAGGACTCATGATGTAAAATGCTATCCACCTCCAGAGACAGAACTGATAGTCTCAGAATACAGATTGAAGCATATTTTTTTCCCCCATTTTAAATTTTCTTTGCTTTTTTTCTTTTCGGAATATGGATAATGTGGAAATACATTTTACATGACTTCATATGTATAACGAATGCCATATTCTCTTTTCATTGGGTAGGAAAGGGAGTGGAGGGGACTTGGAACTGAAAGTAAAAATTAAATTATATTTTAAAAAACCCAACTTTTCCTCTTTTCCTCATGAGGCCTCCTTCCTCACTATTGCCAATGTAAGCTTATTGAAGGGAGGGACTGTTTCGTATTTGTCTTTATATCTCCATCACCTAGCACAGAACTCTTAATGAACACTTGCTGATTGCTACCACAGAAAAAAAAAACAAAGTTGCTATAGATATTTATTTACATGTAAATCCTTTTCTTCTCTTTTTGATCTTGTAGTAATATTGTTGGGTCACAGGATATGTAGTAACATTGGGGGCAAAGTTCTGAATTGCTTTCTAAACTGTCTAGATCAACTCACAATTTTGCTAACCTTGCATTAATAATGTACCTGTTTTCCCACAATCCTCTGACATCTATCATTTTCCTTTGAGGGATTTATCTTGGAACCAAATGCCTTCAACAGCCTCTTCCCACTTTTCACTGCCTTTTAAAATTTATTGTAAGCTATCAGAAAAATAAACTTGTTTTTAAAAGCATGTTTAAAGTGTTATCAAATGATTCTATAGGGGACTCTCATGGTTTAGTAGCTAGGGTGCAGAGTCAAAAAGACTGGAGTTTGGATCCTACCTCTGACACTTACCAGATGTGTGATTGGAGACAAGCCAGTTAACCTCTCCAAGCCTCGGTTTCTTTATGATATGCAAAGTAGTGATAATACCTCTTACTTCACAAGAGAGCCTTGACCCACAAACAAAATATTGTACGAAAAGCAATTTGTAAGCTTTAAATTGCTATTTAAATGACATCTATTGTTAATAAAGTACATGAATTTTGTAATGTCTACTCTGACCATTTAGAGGCTTTTTTTTTTGCTTATTTTCTGGTTATCTATGTTCTTGTTAATTGACAGTTCATATATAGATAAAATGTTTAGTATTATAGTTACTTTGTTTCAAATATGACTATTAATGATTATTACTTCTTTATTTTCTAGGAGCTGCCATGTGCTAGTCTCAAAACAGAAGGTAAATTGTGTAATGAAATACCTTTACTACCTAAGTGTAATCAGCAAGTGGGCAGGAAAATTCTTTTTAGGTCCAGAGTATACTCAGGTTAAGTATCATCATGAATCGATATTATCAGTTCAATAATAATTAAAATGTAACGTGAACAAAATACTACTCTGTACCTAGGTGTTTGGATTTCTTGTAGTTTTTTTTTAATTGTTTTTTTACGAATACATTTCTAAGCAAAGTTAGTAGTTGTATTTGTTAGATTCGAAAATGAATCTTTCATTTCATCAAATTGGAGGTTCTTTTCAGGACACAAACCGTCTTTACCTTGTTCAGCTGTTACTAATGTTGTCCTTTAAGTTTACCACAGTGGTTCCATCCAGCATATCAGAATCCTTTCTCACTTTCTCCTGCCATTGTGAGGGTACAAGGAAATGTTATGGCTGTGGTACTTTCACAATTTACCCTCGAAGATATATGACCAGCTTGTCTTTTCTTCCTATCATATATTGTTCTTCTCTGAAGCTCTCCATTGGTTATACATTTCAGCCTGCTGAAAGCTGCCTTGTGCCTCTCTATTGTCCCATGTGTGATATTCATCTTAAATTCTTCAAAGACTGTAATATGCTATGTCTTACTGTGATGGAGAATGCCCCAAAGGTCTTGCTGTAGTTTTCATCTATTAAAGCTCAAAAGGGTACTAAGACTTTTAGGACATCCTATATTGCAACACAGGTAGAATGTCAGTATTTAAAAAATGGGTCTTTGTTTCCATGAGAATTTGAGTCATTTAGAGAGCTTTGCAGTTTCCTAAGATTTTTGATCTGTCCTTTCTGTCCCATATTAACATCCTGATGAAGAAACAAGGTTGCATCTAAATGCATTTTGTAATCTGATATATGTGTGTGTGTGTATTAAATAGTATTTTATTTTTTCCAATTACATGTAAAGGTAATTTTTAACATTCTTTTAAAAAATTTTGAGTTTCAAATTTTTCTCCCTCACCCTTTTCTAAAAGGTAAGCAATTAATATAGATCATATGTATGTGTGTGTGTGTGTGCATGCAGTCATGCAAAACATTTCCATATTAGTCATGTTGTGAAAGAAGAAACAAACCAAAAGGAAAAAAAAAACCTGTGAAAAAAAAATAAAGTGAAAAATAGTATGCTGCAATTGTCATTCAGACTCCCATCAGTTCTTTTTCTGGAAATGGATAGCATTTTCCATCATGAATCCTTTGGAATTGTCTTAGATCATTGTGTTGCTGAGAAGACTTAAGTCATTCATAGTTGATCATCAAACAATGTTGCTGTTACTGTGTACAATGTGTTTTCCTGGTTTTGCTCATTTCACTTTGCCTCAGTTCATTTAAGCCCAGGTTTTTCTGAAATCTGTCTGCTCATCATTTCTTATAACACAGTAGTATTCCATTACATTCATATACCTCAACTTGTTCAGTCATTCCCCAATTGATGGGCACCCCTCAATCTCCAGGGTTTTTTTGCTACCACATTGCTGAGCAATATATATTCTTCATCTACTTAGCCACATCCATTTCCTGTGTGGATTGACAGCCCCATCTCTTTTGAGTAGGTATAAATTTCTTCCAGGAAACTCTATAGTGTTCCAGGACTTATGCAGCCAGCACCCTGTCATCTACAAACAGGGCATATTGAGTACCTCTCCAGCTATAAGGAGTCTTTCTTCATCTTGTCCATCACAGTGGTGAATACCTTTTGGTTTTTTAGCTTCCTTGATACTTCTCAGGGGATTTCTTTCTTCCTTCCTTCCTTCATTCATTCCTTCCTTCCTTCATTCCTTCCTTCCTTCCTTCCTTTCTTTCTTTCTTTCTTTCTTTCTTTCTTTCTTTTTCTTTCTTTCTTTCTTTCTTTCTTTCTTTCTTTCTTTCTCTCTCTCTCTGTCTCTTCCTTCCTTTCTTCTTCCTTCTTTCCTTCACTCCTTCCCTCCCTCCTTCCTTCTTTCCTTCCTTCCAACAGTGGGGTTCAGTGACTTGCCCCGGGGTCACACAGCTATTAACTGTTATGTGTCTGAGGCCGGACTTGAACTTAGGTCCTCCTGACTCCAGGGCCAGTGCTGTGTCTACTGTACCACCTAGCTGCACCGATATCTTTCTTCCTTGTAGCTACCTTGCGTACTGCTCCCTCAGCACCCTTGCAGTTGTCATCTCTAGCATGATTCTCCTCTATATACACTTAGAGTAGTCTGGTCCAGCTGGTTTTCTTAAATTTGTCACACTAGTGCCATTTCTACCTCCCCTATAAGCACATATGGAGCTGTGAGGTTAGGGTACAAGCATGATGGTTCTACTGTTCTTGATGATGAGAAGAGGTTTATTATAATAATTGTTTCAGGGCTTTTCAATTTGCCTTTTATTTGATTGTCCTAGCTGGACAGAAGTCTTGCCATGCTTTTCCTAATGTGGTTTTACCCTTCATTGCCTCTCTCTGCTTTATGAGATAATACTGCTTATACTCACACATCAAAATTGCCCTCCAGAATGGTTGGATCAGTTCACAACTCTATCAACAGTGCATTAGTGTCTCACTTTTCCCACATGTTCTCCAACATTTATCATTTTCCTTTTCTGTCATATTAGCCAATCTGCTGGGTGTGAGGCAGTACCTGAGAGTTGTTTTAATTTGCACTTCTCTCATCAATAGTGATTTAGAGCATTTCTTCATATGACTATAGATAGCTTCAGTTTCTTCATCTGAAAAGTATTCATATGCTTTGACCATTTATCAGTTGGGGAATGACATATATTATAAATCTGACTCAGTTCTCTATGTATTTTAGAAATGAGGCCTTTATCAGAGACATTAGTTGTAAAAATTGTTTCCCAGCTTTCTGCTTCCTTCTATTCTTGATTGCAGTGGTTTTGTTTGTGCAAAAACCTTTTAATGTAATCAGAATTATCCATTTTGCATTTCATAATGTTCTCTATCTCTTCCCTTCTCTACAAGTCAGACAGGTAAACTATTCTTTGCTCTGCTAATTTGCTTATGGTATCAGGAGTCATGGTGAGGATAAATAGGATTAGAGATTGTAAGGCAGAAGGAAATATATAATGATAAAATATTATGGTCAGATAAGGGGATTTCAGAGTTCATGAACATGGAAATAAAATATCCATGGGTAATGGCAAGGTGAAGGCTATAAACATCTTTTCATGAAGTTGTTGTGCGATCAAGAATATGTCATAAAAATAATTAAATTGAGGAACTGTGAATCACCCTTTATGTCTAAATCAAGAATCTATTTTGACCTTATCTTGGTGTATGGTATGAGACATTAGTTGATGCCTAGTTTCTATCATACTATTTTCCAGTTTTTCCTGCAGTTTTTGTCAAATAGTGAGTTCTTATGATTATTTTTAACAGTGTTTTAATGGCCCAGTTATTTTTGGCATCACTATTATAAAACCTCTCCCTGAACATCCCCAACTCCTACTGAAAACCAAGGAAAAACCTTTTTTTTTTTGTAACAAATAAGCATAGTCAAGCAGAATGAATCCATATATTAGCTATATCCAACAATATATGTCATTTTGTACAGCTTGTGTCCATTATCTCTCTGTCAGGAGTGGGTAACGTATATTGTCCTATGGAATCATGGTTGATTGGTCATTATTTTGATCAGGGTTCTTAAGTCTTTCAAAGTTTTTTGTTTTTTTTTTCCAAAGTGTTGCTGACCCTTAAATTGTTCTCCTGGTTTTACTTGCTTCAATTTACATCAATTTATACTACCCAAGTTCTCCCAAGTCACCTCATCATTTCTTACTGCATAACAATCTTACATTCATATGTCACAATTTGTTCAGCAGTTCCTGGTTGTCTAAGGTCTAAGAGGTAAGCCAAGTCACCCCCTTAGATTTTAGTTCTTTTCTTTTATTCCTCTTTTACTCTTCTCTTCAGAACTGGGAAGTTTGTTTTGCTTACAGTTATTTTCTCCCTATTATTTCCTTTCTTTACCTTCTTGCTTCCCTATTGAGTTTTTATGAATTTTAACATCAAAATGTGTTGCTTTGTGTTTGACCTTCCTTTGTTCATTTCAAATAAGAGTGAGTTCCTTTGATACCCCTTCACTATCCCTTTCTTGATGTCTGCATGCTCTTCTTACACATCCTGAGTATGAGAAATGAGAAGTAAATCAACATATATGGTGGGAAATTGAGAAATACCAAATTCCATCTCCTTCCTCTTTTCTATGCTTATATATACCTTTTACCATTCTTTCCCTTCTTATTCAGACCCTCAGAACTGAACCAATCTACTTGCAGGGCCTTAGTTTTTCTTAATTCCTTCACTACCCTTTGAAGACATTAGGTTCTGGAGGGATCCTTGTTTCTTCTATCCCTATTAGAATACTAATTCTAATCATTGCACAGCTCCTTCCCATTGCTGAAATAAATTTACTTTTCTAGTTTTCTCTGGACCTCTAATGTTTATATTTCAAATTCCCTACTAAGCTCTGATCTTTTCTTTAGAATGGCTTTAAAGTCCTCTGCTCCATTCCATTTTTCCCCTGAAGGATTATACTGAACCTTGCAGGGTGAGTGATTTGTGGTTGTAAGTCTGTCTTTTTTGTCTTTTGGGATGTTGTCTTCTACAGTCTTCTCTCATTCCTGTTAGAAACTTCCGGTCTTTTATGATGCTATTTCAGTTCCTGGTACTTGAACTGCTTCTTTCTGGGTGTGTGTGTGTGTTTATATAGATATATATAAAATTTATTATTTTTTTAAATTTTGGGTCTCTGGATTTTGGCTGTTACTTTCTTGAGATTTTTTTTCCATTTAGAATTTCTTTGAGGAGGTAGATTCTGTCTTTACTTTGCCCGCTGGTTCTTAGTGATCTGGGCAGTATTCATTTTTAATTTTGTAAAATATAGTGTCTAGACTTTTTTTTTAAATCATGGTTTTTGTGGAGTCTGACTTTATCTTTAATTATTTGTCTTTCACCTGTTTTCCAGATCAGTTTTTTAAATATCATCTAGTATACGTTTTCTTTTATTTTTTTCAGTGTTTTGATTTTGTTCTAATATTTATTGCTGTCTCCTAGAGAAAATGATTTCTATTTGATCTGTTCTGTTTTCCAGGGGTTCCATCACTTGGCTTAGGTTTATTCACTTATAAATTATTCTTCCAGTTCTTTCCTCTACAGCTTTTATTTTATTAGAGCTTTTATCTTGTTTTTACGTCTTCCTCCATTTCTTCTAGGTTCATGTAATTGTAATGGAAAAATCCGTTTTTTCTTTTGAGTCATTGCTTGCAGTTGTGACAGTTATTTTCCTCATGGGGATCTCTAGATTTGCAATAATTTTTGATACTAGTTGGTATTTTCTTTGATTTATTTATCTCCCCATCTTTATGTCCCAAACTGGAGCTTTCTGCCAGGGCCAAGCTCTGCTCCCTGCTCTACTTTTGAGTTCAGTAGACAGTCACTTTGGTCACCTAGGTTTCTGTTCTGGCCTCCCACCTCCCAGAATTAGGCCCCTCCTGGATCTTTGAAGTTCAGAGGGCTGGATTTTCAGGAACCTGTCTGGCTTCTTAGGATAGAGTGTTAGGGCCGTTGGAGTGCTTGGGGTGCTCTGGTCTGCTCACTGTACACACTGGTCAGTCATCATTGCCTTGCCTCCCTGCACTTACAAAGTCCCCATCCTGGGACTTTCTCTTGCACCCTGTGTTCTTCGTACCTCAGGACACTTGGCCTTACAGGTCATGCATATCTCCAGTCAGTTTGTGTTCATGCTGATAGTCTGGGTTTGTTTGCCAGGGGCAGGAGGTGCCCTGGCTTTACTGGCAGTTGCCTTTTCTTGTGGCCTTTGTGTTTCTGGCTGACCTCTTGTGCTGTCCTGGGGTGGAAGAAATTATGGTAGTTTCTCCTTACATTTCTTGCTTGTTATTCATTCTGGTGCAAACTAGAAGGTTTTGCTGGGATAAGTACTTGCAGAATGGGTAGTTTACCTTCTCTTCAGGCTGCCGTCTTGTCTTGAACTCTTGTATTAATTTAATTTTGTGGGTCCTAACAAGTTCTGTACCTCTTCATCTTTAGCAGCCAGTGTCAGTGAGTGCCTGTAGTCTCTAATTATTTTTGTAGTGGTCTTTTGCTAATTTCTATCACTACTGCAACATGAAATGACCAAATATCCCAAGAAATAACTTTTCTTGTTGCCTTTGGACATATAATGAAACCAACTGCCCATTTCTTCCTTTGCCACTCCAAGCAGCACCTGTAAGCTGTCTTCCCATTTAGATGCAGCCTCTTTCTTTCTTTTAGTTTTATCAATAGTGGGAATGTTCAGATTAATAAAATTTAGTCTCACTAGTAGTATATTCACTTATTGGTTACTAGACAGATGTCTCACAATTATAGTACCAACAGTCAAATTTAAATTTATAAAAGGTCCAAAAGCTGTGATTACTTGGAATTCTCCCACTTTCATTGCAGAAGTGGAAGAGGGCTAAATGGGACTGGGGACCATTTTGTGTTTTTCTCTTTTTGAAAATGAGTTTCTAGAGACAGATAATTAGTCACTAAGCAGTCAGCCTACAAGGCTGGTCTTCAGGGCCCATATTTAAAACCTTTCTGTGGTGACAGACCTGCCAAGGCCCCTGTTCTGTTGACATAGGCTTTGAGCACCCAGAGTCATCTCCAAGCCACAGTGAGATATCAAGAGTAAGGCTTTGTGGGGAGAGGCTGTTTTCTGGACATTACCCATACATAAACATGTACCTGTTCATGAGGCAGCTAAGCGGCACAGTCAATAGAGCACCAGGTTTGGAGTCAAGAAGACCTGGCCTCAGCCATTTTTTAGCTATGTGATCCATGACAAGTCACTAACTACTGTTTGCCTCAGTTTCCTCATCTGTAAAATGGAGATAATAATAGCATCTACCCCCAGAGTTGTGAGATCAAATGAAATAATAATTGCAAAGCACTTAGCGTACTCTGGTACATAGGAACTGTTAGGTACATGTTAGCTATAACTATTAAAGGTAAATGTTAGCTATAATTTTTAAACACTTGGAGGTAGTCACTAGAATTGCAGGAAAAGGACACAGAAGAGATATTTATAGGATCATAGATTTAGACCTGGAAACTTAGAAGTCATCTAGGCCAACACATTTAGGTCAGGGCAATTAGGTGACTTGTCCAGTGTCCCCATAGCTAGTAAGTATCAGCGATTGCATTTAAGCACAGGTCTTCCAGACTCCCAAGTTTAGGACTCTGTCCACTACTCCATGCTGCCTCTGTATACTGTTGTGCTGTCCTATTTATTTGTATATATAACTTAATGTTAATCACTACCTAAATGCAACATTTTAAGTATTAATAAATGACTCTTTTCTTTTTATTTTGACAATAGCTGATGCTACATTTTTGTGTGACAAGCGATGTAGTAAGAAACGATTGTGTGGACGACACAAATGTAATGAAATATGCTGTGTGGTAAGTTTACATAACTGTAAAGTAAGATAAACATTTTACTAGGATGCCCTAGACTTGAATGCTGTACCCTGTATTAATTACAATCCATTCTAGTAAACATTTATTTATCACCTACTATGTGCCAGGCAGTGTGCTAAAGCACTGGGGATACAGTTAATAAAAATAAAGACAGTCCCTGCCCTCAAGCAACTTAGAATGTAAGGGGGTGGGGGAAAGACAACACAGAAAAGGAGGCAGGAAAGGAAGTGGGGGGAAGGGGAGACAAGAGGCTGCCGGGTATGGGGACTTCATCTTTGTGGAGTTGAAACCAGGTAAGGCAGAAGATGCGAAGTAGAATGAGCTGAGAGTCCAGTTTCTCCCCTCTGTAAAAGAAAGCACTGGAAGGAATTTGGTACTCCCTCTGGTCAGAGGGGAGAGGAAGATGAGGGAGGTAGTGTCAGTCAAGGTTTAAGTCAGCAGCATGGTGGTGAGATGAGAGGTGAAGTGCTATCTTGTTTGAGTTGAAACCAGAAAGAGCAGCAGATGCAGACTGGAGTGAGCTGTCAGACAAAGTAATCAACACACTGGCCATATGTGTTCCTGTTCCTCACTTTCTCTTTCTCTCTCTCTCTCTCTCTCTCTCTCTCTCTCTCTCTCTCACTCTCACTCTCACTCTTACTCTCATCTACACCTCTTTGTCAGTAAATACAAGCTGTGTTTCACCAAAAATGGACAGTAACAATCGATCACTTCATTGAGCAAAATTCTGAAATCTTTAGTGTTGTTTTCCTTTATGTTTGTTGTAATCACTGTGTAAAATGTTCTGGTTCTACTTACTTCTGTTTGCATAAATTCACAGAAGTTTGCCCACATTTCTCAGAATTCTTCATATTCAGCATTTTTTTCCACGTTTTTCTCACATTACGTTTGTTAGTCATATACCACAATTTGTTTAGTTGTTCTTCAGTTGATTGACACTTTGTTTCCAGTTCTTCCAGTTCAAAATAAAAAGATCTAGCTTACTCATAAGAGTCTTTTAGGTTTATTCATTAAGTGCTTACAATAACAATGATAACTTTTGCTCAAAAAAATCTACAAATCAAAATTTACATTATATAATTATGATTATAAAATACAAAATATTATTTTACTAATAATTTTGAAAGTTCTAAATAGACAATTATAAAACTAATTACAAAATACCTATGAATTTTTTATGTGTGACATTCTTTGAGAATTAAAGAAGTAATCCAAAGGACCTCATATGCTTACTATTATCTGCAAGTCTTTGTGTTAAATTTCTTTATGTTACACTTTTAAAATATGAATAATGTTTTTAATGAACTAACAACTTAGAAGATATTTAATATAATACAATAATCGTATATAAATTTAATTTTGATGTTCAACTTTTAATTTCAGTAAAGGTTTGCAAAGTTTGGCACACCACCAGACAAAAACAGTTAAATCTGCTTCTACATCAAGCTTATTTAAAACAAAAATAAAATGAAAATGCTCACTTGCACAAATATGTCATAGAAAACAGTAAGAGGATTTTATAAGTTGTTTTGAGGATGAGGGTATGTGCATGTGTCTGACCACCCACTGGGAAACACTTTGTAGTCAAATATTGGACCTTGACTGGTGGTTTGTAAGCATTTGATAATAGTTTGAGAAACTGCAAGAACGTGTTGTAATTAATGAGAAAGTGGTGAGTTGGTTGTAGTTTGTGCATGAACATCAGAATTGTCATGCACATGGTCATGACTGTTTTGAATAACTGCAGACACAAACCTGTAGTGCTTCAATCACGCATGTACTTGGAAAAAATAAATGTTTGTGACATAATTAGGCAATTTTTTATTTCTTAAAGTGCCGTTAAAACTTTTTTAGTGGAAGCCCTCCAACGGGAACCACTGAATTTAGTGATGAAATCAGATTGCAGAGGGTTGAAATGTAAGTGAGAGAAAAGAAAGTGGAGGCAGCAAGTACAGATCTGTTTTTCTACGAATTTGGCTGTGGAAGAGAGGAGCATTATAAGATGGTAGCTTGAGAAGATGGTGAAGACAAGTTAATTTTTTTCTTTTCAAAAAAATTCTGAACTTGGCTAACACCAAATGAGATGAGCATTTCCATACAAAGCAGAATAGAAGAAAGGACTGTGTGCAGCCAGTTATCTGTATTATGAGAGACTTGCTTTTCTGTTTGTGTATAATACCTTTTCTCCATAGCTGTTATGCTTGTCTGTTTATTCTGTTCATATTATTTCCTCCCTAGCAACCAGTTCTTCTCTTTTAGTGAGAATCAGAAGCAGAATGGAAGGTTTTTTTGGTCCTTTTCCTCTTTTTTTTTCTTTCCTCGTTTAAGAATGATATTTTTGTTAAGGCAAATCAGGAAGATATTAGCAGTTCTTTAGGCTGAGAGAGCTCTAGCAGACGTCTGAATGATTAAAGTCCACCATTACAGCTAAATCATGTCTTTGCAAGTCTATCTTCCCCTTCCCCTTTTATCTTTTGCGTAAGATTTTCCCATCTAGAGTCACATTCCAGGCATAGTTTTGATCCCACCATGTCTTAGTGAAACTTTTGAGATCAAATTTTAGTTTTGTGGTTGAGTCATTTCTGTTTTATCTGACTCTTCACGACCCCATTTGGGGTGTTCTTGGCAAAGACACTGGAATAACCACTTTTTTACTTATTGTAACATGTTCTTGCAGTTTCACAGCCTATCATCAAATGTTTGTAAACTACCACCCAAGGTTCAGTATTTGAGTACAAAGCATTTCTCAGTGGATGGTCAGACACATGTATATACCTTTATTCTCAAAAGAACTTATAAAATCCTCTTTCCATTTCCTATGACATATTTGTGCAAGTGAACATTTTCACTTTATTCTTGTTTTAAATAAGTTTGCTATAGCACCTGATTTAATTGTATTTGTCAGATGTTGTGCAAAACATTGCAGTGTCCTCCAGCTTATTTTACAGATGAGGAACTGAGGCAAACAAGGGTAAGTGACTTGCCCAGGGTCACACAATTAGGAAGTGTCTGTGGCCAGATTTGAACTCAAGAAGATGAGTCCTGATTGTAGGCCTGGCATTTTATACACTGCGCCACCTAGCTGCTCAAGATTAAATTTGCTTCCTTGCTTATTAGGATTTCTAGGGGTTTATGTTACTTGTTGCCTATGCTTTTTATTTGCCATGGATTTTGCTGGCTCTTTTCTTGGAATTTACCTCTCGTGGTTTCTGGTTTGTTCACCCGCTTTTCTTTTTTTCTTTCTTGTAACTGTCCTCTGTTGTTTCTAGCTTAGTGGATATACACAAGCAGTTTTTCCTTCCCCCATCCCCTTTAGTTTAAATGTTACTTGATTAAGGGTGCAATACACCAGGTGAATATTGTCTTATTTTTGGTATGTGCACTCCATCTGTGGCCAGGAGCATTTTATTATTCTGAAGTTGAGAAAAATAGTCTCCGTCTCAGATACCTTTGTTTATTTCCTAAATTAATTTTTTCCCTCCGTATCCCTTAACCTTCAGTGGCCAACAGTGAGAAAAACACTTGTCTGTGCCACCGTGATTCCTTTTATGAGGCTTTGTAATTTTGGGAAGTGCTTTCTAGGTTCCTTCTGGTAGAGTAGTAGCCATCTGCTTTTTACATCTTGGGAGTTCTTTGTTGTATTTTGAATATACAAACTCAGAAGACAACAGACCTCTCTGTTATTAGTTTGACAAATATCTGTAAGCAGGAATTTACTAATACCACTTATTCACTTTGACCTTTATCAAGTATTTTTTCATGTGGCTCTGCTTTATTGCTTATTTGTTATATGTATATTTGGCGAACTAAGTACTTCTCAACCCCTGGCTGTCCCTTGGCCCTGCAAGTCTCATTTCCAAGCACCAGTGCTAGCTCATATACCCAGTCAACTTATGCCCCAGAATATATAGTATTTCTTAAAAATCCTTCATTGATTTTATATAAGAAATAAGAGTTTTCATGGGTTTTTTTTGTGCATTTAAAGCCCTTTACAGTCTTCCTCTAGCCTGTCTTTCTAGAGTGATTTAACTTATTCCATGTTACATGCTCTGCACCCCACTAGCCAAATTGGCCAACTTGTTTCCCTTACTTCATGTTTCACATTTCACCCTTGTGTCTTGGCATGTGCCTGAAATACTTTCCTTCCTCTCTTTTATCTCATGAAACCTCTAGTTCCCCCTCAAGGCTCAGATCAAGTATCGTCTCCTTCCTATCAGTATGGATTTATTTTGTATATATCCTGAACTGATTTATTGTGAGGTATATGCTCCAGGGAAATGTAAACCCCTTAAAGGCAAGTGTTGCCTCGTTTTTATGTCCATGTCTCTCAGTACTTAGCATAGTACTTGGTACAGAGTAGGTGCTTAATAAATACTTGTTCATTGCCTTGTGGAAAGTATCAGTTGGTCAATTTAGTCCATTTTATAAAAGAACTTAATTTTCTCTTCCCCAGGATAAAGAGCATAGGTGTTCCTTGATTTGTGGACGAAAACTGAACTGTGGCCTTCATAGGTGTGAAGAGCCTTGTCACCGGGGAAACTGTCAGACATGTTGGCAAACAAGTGAGTTTCTAATAAATCTATTGTTTCTGATGTTTCTAATACATCAACTTTATAAGTGGTTTACTTGGACATAGACTTTGGAAATTTGGTTTTTGACTGATATTTGTTTAGCTCAATTTGCATTAAGTTGCTGCTTTCATGTGTGTGTGTATATATAATATACACATATGTGTTTATTTTCACTGTTTGGATTTGCTAAGTTTATTTTTAAAAAATTTTTTATTATCACGCATTTATGTTTTCCAGGTTAGCTGTTTTTGATAATAAATAACTTATATGTCTTTATAATATTTGAGTATTTTGATTTTATTCAAATATTTCTTATTGTGTAAAGGAATCATTGAGTTCAATTTGCACTTTCCTATTTTTCAGTGAGTCCCCCACTTGGGTAAGATTTTCACTTTTTGTTCTAGGCTAACGATTCTCTTTCTGATTTTTTCCTTGAGTGCTCTAATTTCATTTTTTATGTCTTAATTTCTTCAGGATTGGGAGGGAGAAGAAAAACACTTAAGTCTCTACTGTGTACCAGGCACTATGTTAAGTGCATAACAAATATTATCTCATTTGATCCAGTCCTTCTTAGAGTCCTTGTTAGCAAAGCCATTTTTTTCTCTGAGGTTCTTCTTGTACTCTTTGTAACTTGTGGGATTACTTTGTTTTGCTTTTACATCTTGGACTTTTCTTATCCCATAAGATTGCTTCATTGTAATCACTGTTTTCTTCTTTTTACTGATATCTCCAACCTCAGTTCCTAGATAGAAACTTTGTGCCAGGGTTAGACTCCACCTCTTGGTGAAGTACACGTGTCCTTTGCAGTCCTGTCCTCAGTCTAGAAGCTGCTGACACTGTTATCAAATGAGATGGCTGGGATTAAGGACTGCCCTCTGCTACCATCTCTGGTTCTGACTCCCTCCTTCTGGTAACCTGACTTCAGCCCCATTTCCATCTCAAGCATCAGTTGTGCTGTGGCTCTGACTTCCCTTAATTCTTATTCTGGTATTTCTTTGGCCCTGAGGGCAGAGCCCTGGGCTCCGGATTTGTGAAACTTTGGACTAGTTTCACGTTTCTCCAGTATCCCCGTTCAGAGCTGCCACAGCCGTTAGATCTCATTTACTAGAAATCCCCTGGCTTTGGCCTCCCCTGGTGTGACCCTTCTACAAATCTGCACAGGCTTTTGGCCACCTTCTTTGCATAACCCTGGGCTAGATAGAGGAGCTTACTACTGTTTGTCTTTGGTCTTCTTGATCATTGTTCCATCTGAGGCCATTTTAGATCTTTGCAGGGACTTTAGTTGGAGAGTTGGACTTCTCCACTTTCTTTACTATATCAAACATTCAAAATTTATTGTTAATGGTACCACCATTCTTAGATCCTCAGAGTCACCCTTGACTTTTTTCTTCCCCTTGTCCCCTATATTCATTCAGTTACCAAGTCCTCTCTTTCTGTCTCCTGATAATCATGCATCTGGCCCCCTTCTTTCCGTTCCTACCTCCTCTATCCCAAATCAAACCCTCTTTATCTTTTTTATGAGTCACTGCATTATTCTCTCTACCTTCAGTCTTACACTTGCCCAATCTATCTTATATACTAGTACCAGATTAATTTTCCTAAGACAGCTGATCATGTCATTGTTTTGTTCAACAACTTTTAGTAACTTCCCAAATAAAGGCCATGTGTCTTAGTCTGGCACTCAAGGCCTTTTATAGCCTGTCCAGCCATGTCTTCATTACTTTCTTGAGCTCCACTCTGCCATGCCCCTGCCTGCATACCTTCTCTTCCCCATCCGTCCCCAGCTTCTCAGATTCCTTTTATGTATTGTTTTCCACCTTTAAAATATAAAGTCCTCAAAGGGAGAAACTGATTTTCTTTTCTACTAATAATTGTATTCCCAGTGCTTAGCATAGTGTCTGGCACATGGTAAGTATGTAATAAATGTTTTTTGACTTGACTTGCTCCAGCCTGCCTTTCTATATCATTTCTCTGCCTAGAATGCCCTTTACCAAAGAATACCTAGTATTCCCAAACTTTCTTACTGAAATATGTAATAATAGATTTCTTATCTGAAATACCCAAACCTGCTCTGTTCATAGAGCCCTTCGTGTCTCAGTAATTTTTTATGGTACCCCTTAGCCAAAAGAAATACCTAACAGTTCCATTTATTAAATAGTTAGTTCCAAACTACCTAATTAGTATTTATGTCTTAACAACATAGTGTTGTTGTTCAGTCTTTTCAGTCATGTCCAACTCTTCATAACCCCCTTTGGGGTTTTCCTGACAAAGATAATGGAGTAGTTTCCTTCTCTAGTTCATTTACAGTTGAGGAAACTGAGGCAAAAAGGGTTAAGTGACTTGCCCACAGTCACATAGCTAGTGAGTGTCTGAGGCCACATTTGAACTCAGGAAGATAGATTAGCCATTCCAGACTCCAGGCCCTGTACTTTATCTGCTGTGTCACCTAGCTACCAACAACCTAGTAGCCATTTGAAAAATAGCACACATAAATTGAAAGGGGAAAAAAACAGTATTTTTATTTCATTCTTAATCATACTTACTTATGCATGAAATGTGTGCACCTGTTCGACGCTGCACAGTTTCTCAAACCTGGCAATCATATTGGGCACAACCACCTTCATTTCATGTTCCACATTGATTTTTGGCAGCCCTTGCATTTTATCACAGGAACAACTGAAAACCCAGCTTTGCAAAGCTGTGAAAGAACTTAAAACCAGACCAATTCTCACATTCAGGGGCATCCTCCAAAGGGATTCAGTGCCATCTAATGTTGACTCTGTTAACTCCCTGGAGTGGTGGTTCTCAAGGCATTGGACAGATATTAAGTGTCACTGCTTCCTCCCAAAGTGTCCCTTGGGCACCTCAGCCTGCAGTTGGGAAGCTATAGCCCTGTGTCTTCATTGCCACTGTTGAAGTTACGGAGGCTTGAGAGCAGAAAGAGACTTAAAGATCATTTAGTCCAGCCCCATCATGTGTCAGAGGAGGAAACTGCAGGCTGGAGTTTGTGGAGTGGCTTGATCAAAGTCACGCAGTAAGACAGTGCTCCAGACACAGATCTGGGTCACCTCACGTGAAACCTCAATCTTGTTTTGTTATGCCATGTATCCTCTTCTTCATATCTTCCAGCTGGAAGTGATCTTTTTCTTTGTATTTCCATAGCATTTTGTTCATATCTGTCATGCTGCCTTTTATTTTGTGTTTTTGCTACTTGTATATGTGTCTTATTTATCATTTCCTGTTAGATAATAGGTTCTTCTGTGGTTAAGAATTCCGTTTGTCACTGCACTTTTAACTGTAGCTATAGCTCAAGAATTATTTGGATGAATGAATGTAGGACATTTCACAAGGCACAAAAGTGCATGATTAATTTACAGATGAATGGGTAGACAGAATTACATCATCAGAGAAGAAAGCAATCACTTTGGGTTAGATAGTATAAGAAGGCTTTAAAAAGGAGGAGGGATTCTGCTGATATATCTTCGCTTTCCTGCATAGCTTCTGACTTAATTTTTCCCAAACTATAGTACATGGAATTTGGGGGCATGCATGGATTGTTTCGATTTTTTGCAATTTTCTAATATCAAATTTAGAGTTTCTGAATCAATGTACATCAATTTAAGATAGATCACATTATCCTCTGATTTGTAAAGTCCCATGGGTTGGGCTGAAACATGAAGAAGTAATGTTTATAAAGTATTGTAGCCAACTTTTGTAGTATTATGTGGTAGAATAATTTTGGCATGGCTCCTTGCTTCTGTAGCTCTAGTTGGTTCTCCTACCTACTCAATTAAAGACTTTACTGAGGTCATGAATTGGAGAACTGACCCTCATCCAGACTATAACTCTGCAAAAGAAGAAAAGCCTCAAGTGGGTGCTGTTACAAGCAGGTAACAGCTATACAATTTGGCAATAATGCTTCTTAAAGCATGTCTATGTTTTGATCTGGCATATGCTAATTAAAAATGATGTTAAAACTCAGAAATATAGTTACGCTTCTCATTTGTGTCTTGTATTTCTGCTGTAGGAAAATGCCTTCTGCATTTCAAAGTTTAAATTGTTGCATTAGTCCAACCACAAATGTATGATTTGTTTATTTGTTAACTACCTGTTACCAAAGAAAAAATATTAATTCTCTATGTACTCTGTGTTTTAGAGACAAGGCTGCCAGGAACAATTTGTCTTTTATTTAACATTCTAAATCTATGCATTTCTTGCTGAGAGAGTGAAATGTCCTAACTGTCATAGTGTTCCCTGATCTCTATCCCAAGACAATTTGAGGTAACACTTATAGAAGTCTTGAACAAGGAAAAGGTCACAATATATTAAAACACAGTTTTGGGATCAGCATTCTAGAATAATATTCACTTAACCTTCTACTAAAACTACTCTACCTACTGAACTCCTTTCTTTATTGATAGGGCTTCCTCCTTATGATCAATATTCTAGTCGTTGGGGCACTTGGTAGCACTGTGGATAGAGCAGCGGCCCTGCAGTCAGGAGGACCTGAGTTCAAATCTAGCCTCAGACCCTTGACACTTACTAGCTGTGTGACCCTGGGCAAGTCACTTAATCCCAATTGCCTTTCCTCCCTCCAAAAAAATTATATATATATTCTAATCCTTTCTGAATGTGGAGGGCATTGCCCTTAGGTAGGTCATAAGCTTATCCCCAAAGGGATGGGGAACGCATTGATCTTACTAGACAGAATAATACTTTTTGTTCCAACTTTGGTTACTACCTATAATCCATTTTCCAAAAGACTTAATTTGTATTTTTATACTTGACCCTTTATACAGTTTCATAAGTGAAAAGTCTGGAAAAGACCTAGAGAAATATTAATTTCTTAATATTTTCAGTTGAACTAACAAAGGGAAGTTTTTGTTAATATGCCTCCATACTGTGATTTAAACTAATTACTCTGTCCATTTTTGTGTCTTTGTGAAATAATTTGGGTACACATTTATTTTTTGCCAGATACACTGAAAAGAATGATTAGTTACCTGGATAAAGTTTATAATGGAACACATTTTTAACTCAGTCTGCTGGTTGGTTTATTCCCTTAACATTCAAAAGCCCTTCAAAAAAAATTACCACAAAATATATGAATTGTGCTGCCATAGTAGTTGTTTTATTTTTTCTGCTGCCTCAGGTTTTGATGAATTAACATGCTATTGTGGAGAGTCAGTGATTTTCCCTCCGGTTCCTTGTGGTACAAAGCCCCCAGAGTGTAAAAACACATGTACAAGACTCCATGAATGTGATCATCCTGGTGAGTTCCTATAAATGTATTTTTATTTGAACTTTATGAACTATAAATGAATCACATTTACCCCTATTACTTGTATGTATTTCTTGTTCTCTTTAATAGATTGCACTTCACAATTACCACTTAACATAGTATGGCAGATTGTATAGTCTCTTCCATATTAGACATATTTAGAAATCGTGTTTACTTTAGGACTGTAAAAGTTTATTTGTGAAATACATTGGAGCTTATTTCTCTGACTCTTAGGCCTAGTGTCTGAAAAAGAAATTACCAGTCCTTAAAATGCAGCATTACAAGTCATCTATGCTGCTCTAGTTTGCCAGTGGACCTTTCTTATACTACCATGGTTTTAAAAAATGCTCTTTGAATACCTTTAAAATATTTTTGCTTTCCCCCACTATCAGTGCTTACCTCTTTCAGGTAAGTTTATAGCTGCAGCGTTCAGTATATCAGTAGTATTGGTTTGGAAGTCAGATGACCTATGTGGTGTTAGCCCTTCCTAACTTAGTCCCATGCTACCTTTCCAGGCTTCTTATCATCCCCTATTCAGTAACCTGGTGGAGAGTTGGAAGAGAGGAGGTGGGAACGATAGTTCCTTCACTGCCTTGTTTCTGCATTTCTCTAGATGAATTAGGGCAGGGTGTTGATTTTCTCTGTACTCCTTTCCTTTCCCCCTTAAACTAAGCTTTTTCTACTTCTATGGCATTTATTGATTTCTTTATATGATTATCATTTCATGAGAAAATAACTTACAACCTCTGATTTTAAAAGATATAAACAATATACAGGATATAAGATTTATATGTGTGTAATTCTTTTTATAAAAATCTTTCCTTATTTTCTCTTTGTTTTAATACAGTATTCCATTCTTGTCATAGTGAGGTGAAATGCCCCCCTTGTACTTACCTTACTCAGAAGTGGTGCATGGGCAAACATGAGGTAAGTTTTGTCTTCCCAGTTGTTGATAGTAGTTAATAGCGGTCATTGCCAGAAATGCTGAGCTAAAGCTCAATTATTTGTTTTCTAGCTCAGCTACTTAAAATCTATACAGTCTTGGACAAATTCACTTAATTTTCTGGGCCTCATTTACTTTATTTAAAAAAAAATGTATGACTTCTGAGGTTCCTTCCAGCTATAAATCTGTGATCCAATGATTTTTTCATATTCAGTTTTATCTTCTGGTAGCTCAGTGGTCTAGCTTCTTTTGGGTCCTCTCTTCATAGTGTGCCTACTCTCCCTTCCAGGTTGGTATTATCTGCAAATTTGATATACATGCCACCATCTATGATTTTTTTTCCAAGTCATTAACAAAAATGGTAATGCAACTCACAGCCAAGGACATATAGGCATCTTTCTATTGTTTGTGCAAAGCATGAGGAAAAACTATCTATATCATTCCTAGGCACATTAGATAGAGTGCTGAACTGGGAGTCAGGAAGATCTGAGTTCAAATCCTGCCTCACACACTTATTAGTTGTGTGACCCATGGCAAGTGAACTTAACTTCTCGGCCTTAGTTTCCTCAACTCTAAAGTGGGAATAATAATGCCTACCTCACAGAGTTGTTGTGAAGATCAAATAAAATAACATGCAAAGTGCTTAACAAACCTTCAAATGCTATATAAATACCTTTCTAAAAGGTAACCTTTCCCAAAAACATTATGAGGTGGTTTTGATATTACCTGTTCTTTTTTTTTTCCTTTTCTTTTAGGCAATTGGGGTTAAGTGACTTACCCAGGGTTACACAGCTAGTAAGTGTCAAGTGTTTGGTCTGAGGCTGGATTTGACCTCAGGTCCTCCTGACTTTAGGGCCGGTGCTCTATCCACTGCGCCACCTAGCTGCCCCCAATATTACCTGTTCTTGATGAAGCCATTCTTTTTGAATTCACCAGCTTCTTCCCAAACCTAGATTCCCCCCTAAAGTCTTGTCACAGCATTCTTGGTCTAGAAGAGATAGCATGTGAAACATTCTGAAATGTCTGATCCTTACTTAAAACAATGACAATACTGTGACAGAATTCTGAGGAATGTGTCCAGAATTCACTGTGGTCACTTCTGCTACAATCATGTGGGTCAAACTACCACTACCACAACCCTCCAGATCTTGGTGGGGATGGCCAGGACCCTCACCTAAGAGCTCGTGAATAGTAACCCTCCCAAGGCTAATGGCTCAGCTCGAGTTTTGTGCCCACAGCCTTCCTCCAGAGGAGCAGCCCTTGTGGAAGTGTGACCGGATAGCTGACCCCTTAGCAGCCATAGCTTTTGGAGGACCCAGAAAAGAAAGTTCTCAGCACAAAAATCCTTGGCATTGTCAAGTGGTTCAACATCAAAAACTGGCATAGTTTTTATCAGTAGGAATGATATTTAAAAAGATGCATTACCGCTTTTCCAGGGCCCCTTAAGGACCTTTTCATCTGCCCTGAAGCTGAGGCCTCTGCTACTTATTGTCTCCCAGTTGTGAAGGCAGCTGTCTTGTACTTTCTTTTGTATCCCTGTGTTATTTGCACATGTGAAAACTTAATAAATGTATTTTCATTTGTGCATGAAAAGGAACAGAATAGCTGAAAGGAGTGATGGAATAGCATTAAAATATATTAAGATTGAGGCAGCTAGGTGGCACAGTAGATAGAGCACCAGCCCTGAAGTCAGGAGGACCTGAGTTCAAATCCAGCCTGAGACCAAACACTTGACATTTACTAGCTGTGTGACCCTGGGCAAGTCACTTAACCCCGATTGCCATAAGAATAATAATAATAAATATATTAAGAGGGCAGCGAGGTAGTGCCAGTGGCAGCAGTGGATGGAGTACCAGACCCAGAGCAGGAAAACCTGAGTTCACATTTGTCCTTAGACACTAGCTGTGTGATCCTAGGCAAGTCACTTAGCCCTGTTTGCTTCAGTTTCCTCATCTGAAAAATGAGCTGAGGAAGGAAATGGCAAACCACTTCAGTATCTTTGCCAAGAAAACTTCAGATGGGTTCATGAAGAATCAGACACTCCTGAAAAACAATTAAATAACAACTATTAAAAGGATATGCCTCAGCTGAGGGAATCTAGGGACTTACCTACTTAGCTTTGGCTTTAGCTTTCAGAGTTTTAGCATTCCTGACACTCTTTTTATAGGACACTGCCACACTTGTCTGTTAATCCTCCACTACCATCTACTACCTACACTTGCTTCTGTTTTCCTAACAGGTCCCTTTAAAGCATAAGGAAAAATTCACAGTGCATCGACAGCAGTCTTTTTAGACAAGTCCCTTTCTTCATCTTTGTGTCTTTGTAATTTTATATTTGAATGGTTTCCATTCCTTCTGGGCTGATTTTTATTTTCCTCAAGATTTCAGTTCTTAGGATCCTGCCTATTCTTCTGAACCTTTTAAAATTTGCTTTCCTAAAATCAAGAGTGCCCAGATTTCCTTCTTCCTAACATAAATTCTAAAATAGCACAGTCACTTTTTCTTAACGTTCCTGTCATTTCTTCTTCAACAACCAGTTCTTCCTTGATTATGAGAATCAGATCCTGAATTGTGGAGGAAGTTGTTTTTTTTTCCTTCTTTTCTTTTTTTTAAAATTAATTTATTTTGAATTATCAACAATCACGTCCATAAGCTTTTGAGTTTTAAATTTTTCTCCCCTTCCCTCCCCACCTCTCTCCCCAAGACGGCGCGCAATCTGATAGAGGCTATACATATGTGGAGGAAGTTTTTAAGGGAAGCTATTAATTCAGCTGCTATGCTTTAGTCAGTAAAGTTAGATGCTGAGACCAGTGGTCTTCAAACTTTGAGGGTGCACCCTTATTTGTAAAAAAAAAAAACTTGTACATACACATATCTCTCCTTCCCCAGTTTCCTTCAAGGTTCAGTTTTTACATAAAGCCTTTCCTGACCTCCCCCCAGCAATTAGTATATTCTCCCTAAATTGTCTTGTATCTATTTTGCACATAACTGGATATATCCTTTCCTCTACACACATGCAGACATCTCCACTGTTATTTTCAGGTTGAGAAATAGCTGCCACAGTACCTCTCCACAGGGAGGGTCACTATCCAGCACTATTTGTCTCACTTCTCTATTCTTTACTGTATCTTTCTCCTGACAGCACTTACGGATATTCGTCATTTCTTATAATTCAGGAAGCCACTTCTTGAAGGAGATCCAACTTCCTCTTTTCTGGGAAGAGCCTTATATCTATTGCTTCACTCCAAATGTTCTGTGGTCTTCACCCTTTTTTGCTCTTATATCCTTTTGCCTTCCAGTTTCCTGACACAGGTCAGGATTCCCCACTGGCTTTTCAAATCCTTTTTCTTTTATTGCGAAGGTCTTTTTCCTCTTTTTAAAGGAACACTTGGTAATCTTATGAGTGAGAAAGTATTCCTCCAGCCCTTTTACCTTCTGTTATGGGAAGAAAAGTAATGTGTATTTTGAGCATAGATAGAAGTTACTTGGCTGTAGCAAAAAAGTAAGCACCATGAACTCTGCAAGTTAAGGGGTTGACAAATGGTAATGAATGGTCAACACCCCATAGTGTGGATTACTATGATCAAATTTTCCAGAGTTGGCTTCTACTCTGTTCTTTTTTCTGGGCAAAACTTATTGATTTATATCAATATGCATTCTATATTGAGGGATGATTTCTAGGCATCAATTAGTTTATGTGGACAGATAAAATGCTATTTCCTTCCCAGCCCCTAAGCCACCTCATTTTATAGGTTATGGAAGGATATGTATATCCCATAATATGTTACAGATAGTCATAAGGATGGATGCCTTTACTAACTTTGGACACTATTAAGTCTGCCTTACTATCAGAGCTATGGGTGTGTCTTGACACATAAAAAATAAGGAAAATATTAACTTGTTGTTTATCTAGGTGTTAACATGGACTGAAATGGGAAGTTTGTTTTGATAGTAGCAGTTCTTAAGATCTTATAAAAAAATAATTACTTTATTCATTATTAATAATTGTCCATTTTTGAAAGATCATGACCCAAATAACATTGACTTTTCTTTTTAAATTAATTTTCCATTTCAGCATAATTTTTGTGTCCTTTCTAGATACGATACAACATTCCTTGTCATCTAACTGAAATCTCTTGTGGACTTCTCTGCAATCAAATGTTAAAATGTGGAATGCATAAATGTAAAAGGATTTGTCACAAAGGAGAGTGTCTTATAGATGAGGTCTGCAAACAGCCTTGTACAATTGCTAGAATTGACTGTAATCATCCTTGTATGGCTTTGTGCCATCCATCTTCACCTTGCCCTATGAATTCTTGTAAAGCAAAGGTAGGTAAGCCAATTAATAGAAAAAACTTTGTTGGCAGTTGTACTACTATTTTATTATCCTAAAATAGTCATCCACCATAATGTTACTTGCTACCTGTTTTGGAGGTGCTCTCACGACCATTTTGAATTCACTTCTGTGTTTGGCCACTTCTGTCAGCACACTCTGATTTGGGATCTTCTCTTCCTCTTCTACTCTATAATTTTCCCAACTGTTTTCTGTCAAAACTCAGTGTCTTCCTGTCTCTCTCTGTATACCTGAATGAAGATGCCTTCTTTAGACTTGGTGGACATGAACAAAATGCATGGAGACAGGAATGAGCATGTGATATGGGGACAGTAAGGACACTGAGCTGAATAAAATGGAAGGGATGCTTTGGAGAATGTCAAGAGGTAAGGTTAGAAAACTATGGGAAAATAATTGTCCTGATCATAGGATCTCTCTCTCTTTCTCCTTGGATAACCTAGTATTCCCTCAGGTCCAAAAAGTCCGCAGTCAAACTCCTTAATTTCTTTTCTTAACCAGCTGCCTCTAACCATTTTTTTCTCATTGCTATTAGTGATACTAGTATTTCAATCTCCCAAAGCAAAAATCTGCAGTGATATTTGACTCACTCCTCTTCTCTTTTAATATTGTGGATCATTCTGCTGTTAGGAAATGATCTAGGATAACTTTTCTCTGTCTGAAACAAATGGATGATCCATCTAGTTAACCAGTCTGAAATTTTTTTTATTTTATTAATTTATTTTATTTATCAACAATCACTTCCATATGCTTTTGAGTTGAAAATTTTTCTCCCCCCCACCCTCCCCCAAGACAGCACACAATCTGATATAGGCTTTACATTTACATTCCCATTAAACATATTTTCACATTAGTGAAGTTGTAAGTAAAAATTAAAACCAATAGGAGGAACCATCAGAAAGATGAAACAAAACTGAACAGAACGTAAAAATAAGTGATAGCGATTCGACTTCCATAGTTCTTTCTTTGGATGTAGACAGCATTATCCATCCCGAGGCCTCTGGAGATGTCTTAGATCTTCGTAATACTGAGAAGGGTTCAGTTTAACAATATTAGTCATCGCATAACATGGCTGTTATTGTGTACAAAGTCCTCTTGGTTCTGCTCACTTCACTCAGCATCAGACCATATAAGTCTTTCCAGGTTTTTCTGAAGTCAGCCTGTTCATCATTTCTCATAGCACAGTAGTATTCCATTACATTCATATACCACAACTTGCTCAGCCATTCCCCAATTGATGGGCATCCTCTCAATGAAATTTTTTTCTAAGGTGTAAATAAATTTCACTTCAGATTTGATGGAGGGCCTCAATTGGCTACCGTTAGGACCTTTCAGCATGAGAGGGAAAGATCAATAATTGTAGTCTGAGGATCTAGGCATGAAATTCATGAACATCCACTTTGTAGAAGAAAAAAGGAAAGAGTTTAATGCTAAATAGACTTGATGCCCAAAAACCTGGAAATATGAAATTAGTCAATAAATGTGAATTAGGGAAGAAAGATTCATTCCTGTTTCAGAGAAGAATAGAGATAACTGTATCACTATAGAGTTGTAGTTTTTTGTAACATGCCCATTCTTACTATTTTTCCCTAAAGTTTCTAGTTGTAAAAACCTTTAGAAAACTTCATTGAAAGTTATATGCTTCTTTAAGGTCAGGAGGGGCAGAAGAGAAGGTAAAAAATTATTGGGCCTGGGAGGAGAAGAACTGAGATGGAAGAATGGGTAGTGGTAGAAAAGAGCACATTGACCCAAGACCTAGCAGTGACCCATGGGCTTATCACTGGTATAATGGCCTTTTCTATCAGCCCTCTCCTGGGTCTTTTTAATGTCCCTCAGCTTTGCCCCTTCCTTTCCTTCTCAATACCACTACCCTTTTCTAAGCCTTAATGATCAGATCCTTCACTTACCATGACATTTCTAACTAGTCTTACTGCTTCTTATGTCTCCTCTCCTATTTTCATCTTATTACTCCTCTGCCCAAGAACCTGTGGTGGGTGATTGTAGTATCAAGTTCCAACTTTTCTTCCTGGCTTTCAAAGTCTTTTGTAATTCAGCTATCCAAGTTTATCTTGTACTTAATTTTGAAGTGTTGGAACAGACCTTAAGTATCATAAAGTCCAGTTCTTTCACTGTATCGATGAAGAAACTGAGGCCTAGAGAGGTAAAGTTATTTGCCCAAAGATTCATAGACAGTTAGTAGCAAGCTTTCAGTTAGAATTCAGGTTTCTTTCTCCCATTGTTTTTTCTGCTTCATCAGACTCCCTCCTTATATGCTATTTATAGCATCTTCCAGATGTTTCTGTTACTGTTGGAGGCACCACCATCCTTACCATTAATTCATGTTTGTATCCTCTGAGTCATCTCCGTCTCCCTGTCACTGTCCCTTGTACCACATAGCTAATGATTTGCTAAATCTTGCCAGTTCTACCTTTATATCATCTCACCTTCAACTCCTTTTCTCCTTCTGAAGTATTGCAGTTTCCTCTGAATTAGCCTCTGTGCCACAATTGTGGCTCTGTTTTCATCAATCTGGCTTCCACACATCTGCCATAATGTTCTTCTAAAGCACAAATGTTAGAATGTCACTCCCTTGCTCAGTAACCTTCAGTGGCTCCCTCTTGCCTCAAGGATCAGATACAAACTGTTGTTTGATATTTAATATCTTTCACAACTTTGCTGCAGCCTAGATTTTTAGATTAAATGCACATTTTGTGCTCTCTACTGTCTAGCAAAGCTGGCCCTGCTGTTCTTCACTTACAGTATTCCATAGCCTGTTCTTGTACCATTGCACAGGCCGTCCCCTATTTCTGGAATGCACTTCTTCTGGAATATACTTCTTCCTCACATCTATACTTTATATTTGTACATGTTTCATTTTCAAGCTTACATTCCACTAAAAAGAGCTGCTAAGTATATAGCTACAAGTGTCTCCCATGCTGAAATTAAATTACATTTGTATTCTTTGTATTTTGAATTTGCTGATTTGTGTACATTTTGTTTCCCTTGATAGATTGTAAGCTCTTTGTGGGCAGGGATAATTTCATTTTTGTTTTTGTATTCCCAAATACCTAGCACAGGACTTTGGCCCCTAGTAGGCACTTAATGCTTTCTGATTGATCTGTTTACAGTTATTCATTTTATCTTGCCAATTAAATGATGTTTGGGGTCAGTGACTGTCCTTTGTTTATTTTCCATGGTCCATTCTGCAATGTTGGGAATCACTCAGTAAACTGTTGAGTAAGTCTCATTTATTGATGTGGATTGAACTAATGTTGAAATTTTATACCAAGTAGACTTTCTCAATCCGGTTATTTTTAAAGCAATTTTAAATCTTATAGGAGGTAAAATTATCTTTAAAATCATTATCTCCATTTTGCAAATGAAGAAACTAAAGATCAAGAACAAGGAGATTATGCATGGTTAAAAAATGACAGATGTAATGTCATAAAAAACTAAGCTAGAGAGGGTTGAAGCTCTAGAAACTGGAATTGCATGGTATTCAGGCTGATGCTGATGTCACTTGTGGCTTTCTGTGCTGACGATTGATGGATTGTAATATAATTGTAGGTGGAGCTACAGTGTGAATGTGGAAGAAGAAAGGAGACCATGGTTTGCTCTGAGGCATCTAGTACCTATCAGAGGTTGGTGCTATCCAGCTTTCCCTTCTCCCCAAATTGTCACAATCTGAATAATACCTCTCAGTTTTCAAAGTGGTTTCTCTCATTTCACTTTATTCTCTCATAACACTGAAAAAGTCCATAATATCCCACTTTATAGATGAGAGTGAAGGGTAGACAGAATACATGACCTTAAAATCCCACTGCTCTTTGGCAGTAGAGGTAGGATTGAGACTTTGGCTTTTGGACTTCACCCCGTGGTCACCTGCCATATTAAAGCCCCAGCTAGCCATGGGTGAAGAGAAGGAGCCCTTCATTCTCTCTTAGGCTTTAGAAGCCTCCAGGCGTGGAAGGTGGAGATGATCAAATTGAAATTCTAGAGCAGAGCTGGAGAGGCAAGTGAGACAGGCAGGAGGCTTGACTGGATAAGGCTTCAAGATCTAACAGTAGACCCCAGTCTTTTGGCTGATGTTCTTTGCACTGAATTATGCTGGGGGTAAAATTAATCTTTATCTTATAGACCTTCATTTATCTCATAATTGTGTGCACAGTCCTATGTTAGAGAAGGCTAGAGTATGGGGATGCAAAGAAGGTTAAGTGAGGGTAGAACTCAGTCTAATTGGGGAAATAAAACTAATAAATACCATGGAAATAATGAGAGTGTGATACCAAGCACTTTGTAATCAAATGCTAATAGTAAATAATAAGTGCAGAGAGATCAGTTAGTTCTTAATATTGCTACAAAAGAGTTTCCTATGGCCCATTGTGTTTGCGATAAAATAATTAATGTTTTGAGAGTTTTCAAAGGACACAGTGATAGCAACTATGAAGATTATTTTCTGGAGGACAAGAAAACCTTGTGGGTTCAGGCTGCTTTGGCTCTTGATTCATTAATTTTGCATAAAGGCAATATAGGTTAAGTAGCTACACATCCTTCATTACATTTTTATGAGAGAGGCAACCAAACCCGAAGCAACCTGATAGGGACTTTTTTTTTTTAAAGAAAACAGGTTTCACTGCTGTCCGTGGTGATAATGGAATGGTCAGTAAACATTTATTAAGCATCTGCTTTGTGCCAGGCATGGTGCTAAATGCTGGAGATATAAAGAAGATAATATATAGAGGTTTTATCATATGGAGTTTTATCCCTCCAAGTTAAATTGTACTCTAGCTCTTAAATATGATGTGCACCATGAAAGATCACAAAGAAGAAACATTTACTGATAGATTAGAGGTGGAGAAAGGCCAGGACTCAGAAAGGTTTTTTTCCTGGGTGGACAGGGTGGACAGCAGCAGAGACTGAAATCTGATATCTGCCAGAGACAGAAAGGATGTCCTAGTTTGTCAGTATCTAATTGACAAGATGAATCTTTGAGTAAGTGTAAGGAAATGAGTTCAGTGCTAAGGGAATTTGGGTTTGTGGCTGTTTAATTCTGGGTTTGTGAAAGGGGAACTGGAAGAGAATTGGAATCTGATTGTGAATGGGTGGGGCAGAGTCAGTTTGTGGGTGATTTTTTAGGGTCTTGAGAATCAAAATAATGTGGAATATGGGTTTGTAGTGTAGCATCTTTGTTATTCCAGTGAAAATGAATCATGACTTATGTGTGTGAGATTGACTCTAAATGGTTACAATTTTGTTTGAGTCTAGAGCTTTTTTAAGGGGTCCCTTACAAATACACAAGTATGTATTACTAATCTTCTTGCTTCTCCTGATTGTTGGTCCACAGGGAGTCCAGAAAGTCATAGAATTTTAGTGTTGGAAGATAATTTTGAAGTAATCTAATCTTTCTCGTTGTCATAAGGATCCTTCTATAACATCCCTAGCAGATGGTCTCCAGCTTCTGAACACTTACAGCGATGTGATGCTCACTACCTCACAAAGTAGCTCATTTCATTGTTTCACAGCTGTATGTGTTAGAAATTTCTTCCTTTTCCTGATTTCTTCTGCCCTCTGAAAAACGTCTAATGCCTCTTCTGCGTGAATCAGGAAGACCTGAGTTCAAATCCTCACTCAGACACTAACTAGCCATGCAATCCTGCACAAGTCACTTCACCTCTTGGCCTCAATTTCCTCATCTGTAAAATGGTGATAATAATAGCACCTACCTCCGAAGATTGTTGTGAGGATCCAGTGAGATATAACATATGTAAATCACTTTGCAAAACTTAAAGTAAATGTGGGCTGTTACTATGTGAAACCAGTCATTCTCCCTCCTATATTAGTTCAGTTAATTTTGAACCTAACTATAAGACTTTATTTTTGACTCTATTGATTTCCATCTTCTAGATCTGGCCTTAATTATTTCATTCATCGAATTAGCCATTCTTTCTAGCTTGGTGTCATATGCAGATTTGATGAGCAAGTCTTCAAGATCCATCCAAGTTATTGAGTAAAAAAAATAAATAAAAGGTACCCTGGTGTCCTTCCCCTAGAATAATATTAAGTCATTAATCAACACTCTTTGTTTATGGTTATTCAACTAGCTACAAATCTCTCTAACTGTATTATCATCTGTTCTTTCTCCATTTTGTTCATGATATCATGGAAAACTATGTTAAATAACTTGTTAAAATCAGGATTCAGCAGAGAGACAACATTCCTATGGTGTACTAAACTGTTATTTACTCTTAACGTTTCAAGGATCCACTATTTCATCAATATGAATGCTCTTTTAAAAAATTACATTATATTTTTTCAATGAGCAAAAATCCCCCTCCTGCTCCCACCTAGCCCCTCCTCTCACTCTATTTCACCATTGAGAATGAAGAAAAAACAAAAGCCTTATTACGAACATGTATAGTCAAACAAAACAAATTTCTGTATTGGCCATGTCCAAAAAAGTATGTGTCTCATTCTACATTCTTGAGTCCTTCACCTCCCCATCAGCAGGTGAGTAGCCATGTTTCATCATTAGTCCTCTGGAACTGTGGCTGGTTATTATACTGATAAGAGTTCAGAGTTGTTTATCTTTACCATATTGTTGTCTTTGTATAAATTCTCCTGATTCTGCTCATTTCATTCTGCATCAATTCATACAAGTCTTCTCCAGGTTTCTCTGAAACCATCCCTGTTATCATTTCTTGCAGCACAATAGTATTCCATCACATTTATCATACCATAACTTATTCAGTCATTTCCCAATTGATGGGTACTTCCTTCATTTCTAGGTCTTTACTGTAGTATAAGTCTGGGATCATTTCTTTCCCTGGTTCACAGCCTCTTTCTGTGTGCCAGTGCACTCTGCACATGCCCTGCTCTGTACCAGACCCTGTCCCCAGTGTCCACATGTCTCTATGTCTCCCTGTGCTGACCAGGGCTGGAAAGTGACTCACTGTGCCTTTTTCTTGGATTTCTCCGTCAGGATTCAGTCTAGTTCATTTTCTAGATTTGTTTGTGTGAGTTTTAGGTGAGGAGTTTCTTGCTGCACTGTTTCCTGCTACTGCACTATTTGTTTCCACTAATATTCTTTCCTTTGTAGACAATCTTGATGAATTTCTAAGGCCAGAGAAATTTATTATCTAGTGCATAACTATGTGGTGCTGAAACTCTGCATTTAGCTCGATCTACATAACATACTGCCTACAAGGCCGTAGTTGAAACTTTCCCAGCTTGGCAGAGTTTGTACTCATTTGGCATAGCCTTTGAGAACCCAGATCACCTCCACACAGTACTACAGCATAAAGATTGGACTTCAGTGAAGGACTAGTCTTTAATCTTATCAAAATAGGAAATGAATTGGCATGACTTTATTAGTGAAGGTCATACAAGCTGTGTGAACCCAGAAAACTTCCTACAATTTAGCCCAGTTTGTTCTGGCTGCACAGTGGCTGAACCAAAATCCCCAGGCTTCTTGGATATTTCATCTCTTGGGTCCCCGGAATTTCATACCAAATTCTGTCCTTATTTATGACACCTAGGCTTGCTTTCTGGGGATCTAGGGATCTACAAAGACTACAAAGCTGGGAATCATAAAGTTAGGGATGACAGGAGCACTGAAGTTTCCTTTTGGTCAAATGAGATTTGCCTCTTAAATCGTGTATAATTTTAGGCCTAGTTTGAGATAATTTGTTTTTGAGATACCACTTGGCAGACTTGGCAGCTTTTTGCCATATTGTTTCACTTAAATATGAGAGTGGTATTCAGTGATAAGGGACATCTATAACTTATTGAAGAGAAGCAGCATGACTTAGGGAATAGAGAGCTGCTTGGAGTCTGGAAGACCTGCATTCAGTTGCTGCCGCTGACACAATGTAGCTGGGTGCCCTCTGCGCTCCAGGCCGCAGGCAGCTCTTTAGGACATTAAATTGCAGATGTACATCAGCAGAAGTACTTTTCCTTACTAGAAGTTTCCTGTATCAATGAAATCATAAGAATGGTCCTAAATAAATAAACTGTTGAAGTGGTCGTACCCACTTGGAAAGACTTTTTTAAAAATCACCAGATTTGATTAGATTTTTTATCAAATGTAATACTTTTCCTATTATTTTCAGGATCGCTGCTATTTCTATGGCCACTAAAATAACTGACTTACAGCTTGGAGACTCAGTGGAGATAAGCAAGTTGATTACTAAAAAAGAAATTCACCAAACCAGGTAATTTTTTTTAAAGGGAAATAAATGTACAGCTAGAGATAGTGATTCTCAAATAATTTTCAAAAGCAGAAAATAATCTTAATTGTACAATAATTATGAAACAGATACATTAGATGAATGCCCCTAGGTGCTTTTCTTCTTCTTTGGCTTTTCAATCAGATTATTTTCCCTCTATATCACTTCTAAGATTGGTGTCACATTAAGGAAATGAGAGTTTTGATGGATGAAGAAGAACATAATTTTGAAGTATGTGATATAGTAAATGGGGAGGAATAGTTCTGATGGGATGCTACGACTGGGGACTTTGGGTAACATTTGAGCCTTGGACACTTGGGCAAGCAAAGGTAGGAAAGAACTAAAGAAATTTCCTCTCAAGCTGATCATGCTCCTTCCCTTCCTTCTAAGGACCAGAAAAATGAATTCCACTATTTTGACATACCCTGTTACCTTGACTTATCCAAGGAGGCAGAATAAATTGGTTTCTCTAGTCTGGGGACATGCCTGCTGTTCAGTGAAGGATCTGGATCCCTGGGTCACATCATAAAAGAGAATGCTGTGCAGAGGCCTGCCCAGGATATTAGCTGTGCACAGCACACAAAAGGTGCCACCAGGACATGCTTAGTTTTTTGTTTGTTGTTTCTTTTTTTTAGGCAGTTGGGGTTAAGTGGCTTGCCCAGGGTCACACAGCTAGTAAGTGTCAAGTGTTTGGTCTGAGGCCAAATTTAAACTCAGGTCCTCCTGACTTCAGGCTCGGTGCTCTATCCACTGTGCCACTTAGCTGCCCCAATTTTTTTTTAAATTTAAATTTTTTTTTCAGGACATGCTTAGTTGTTGGCAGTCAAATCAATCACTATCTTATAAGAATCAGCCCTTAAGAAAAATAGTATTACTATTTTACTATTTTTAAAATCTTCTTTTGGAGCAGATTTCTTGAATTCTGTGTTTCAAAAATATGCTGTATCAGCACACTTCGTGGCTTGAATAAAGACTTGAACTTTGTGAATATTTCACAATATTTAACAGCTATATATTAAATGATGTGTACTTTTGCACTGTTTTTAGATTTCATGATACCAGTATACTGAGAAGCATTTATTCTGTTTCTTTTTTTCATTTGCTAATCAAGGCTTCATTGTGATGAAGAGTGTTTAGCCCTAGAAAGGAAAAGGTAAGTCATACCTACTTGAAGTTAGGTTTTATGGAACTAATTTTTTTAGATCTATAAAATTGGAATGTGGGGAGAGGGAGCCGACTAGATCATCCTTTCCCATTTTAAATCTTATAAACTCTTTAAAGAAAATAGTTATTTGTCAAATCATCAAGTATTTTATTCAACAACTACTATATGCTTAACACTGTGTTGGGCACCGTAAGGGCTACAGGAGATACATCAATGAAGTGTGTATGTTCAGACACGCAGTAACGAGGGAGGTTGTGTAAATGTGATTATATACTCTCAATGTAATCCAGCTGCCTACAGCACAGTAATTTCAGACCAGTACTCTTATTGATTCCATCTGAGTTATTGATAAAGAAGATAGTAAATTTTGCAGCATACTTCTACACCAGGCCTGCACAACATGCAGCCTGCCAAAAGATTTCTGGTGGCTGTCGTGTGACCCACAGCAACCAGCCATTGTCAGTCTGTCGCATGTTGTGCAGGCCTGTTCTACACTATGGCTTGTGATCCACCCTCCCCAGTCTATTTCCTCTACTGCACTTCCCCAGTGCATAATGAAATGTTCCACAGAGGAAAAATCAGAGGGTGCAGTAATGGTAAATAACAGCTCTCAAATTGTAAACATGTTCTGTGGTGAATTTCACTTGGAGTAATCCTTTCTCACAGTAAAAAAAAATCAAATGATAGTTTTTAAGTTCAGCAGCAGTGCCATCCAGAAGAACAGCTGACAACATTGGAGGTTATTAGCTTTATGTTATAAAAATGAGTGGGACATATTCAGACAAGCAGTAGAGACAGTATATAATCATGAAAACATAAACATATAGTAATAGTAAAATGAAAATTTACCCTAGATAAAACACTGTCGATTTCAATTGGATTTCCATTTTGAATCTACTTAAATTCACCTTAGGTTTTTATTTACCATTGTTCTAAGTTTTCTCTCAGTCTTAGACATTATTTAATACCCTTCACTGCAAAGGTACCCTTATTAAAGTACTTCAATGTAATTTAATTAAACTCATTGCCTCTCAGTGAAAATGAACACCTGGTAACCAGTTCCAACCTTGTTACTTCCTAAGCCTTCTTAAGCTAAATAATTAATTCATATTTAGCTTATATTTTGCTCTGCATTTTTCATCCTTATTTTCAAAAAAGCCAATTAATCCCCATTTCGTATTTGTCACATTTAATCATTTTGTTTTCCCTTGTGTCTAAGAAACCATTTATTTAATACGCCTGTTTCTTTCTTAATTTCAGGCGACTAGCAGAGGCTCTTAATATCAGTGAAAGTTCTGACCCTTTTAATGTACGGTCTGGATCAAGATACAGTGATAGCCTGAAAGAAGATGCTAGGTATGTGGCTTCTTGTGCTTTGGGGGAAGTACTTTGCAAAACTAAAGAGCTATTAGATCACTTAGAATTTGTGATTATTTGTGAAGATACTAATAAAAGTTCTGTTTAATTTTCTTTCATAACAAATTCTGGTATTTTAAAAATATTTTTCACTCTCTTAAATTTGTTCAGGAAATTGACAAGAGAATAGAACTCATTAAACTTTGTCACTTTATGTCAGTTAAGTTGCAAGAGCTATGGGAGTTGTGCTAAGCTTCTAGAAACTAGAGAACAGAGAAATTATAGCTGTGTTGGACAGAACACAATTCTTAAAACTTCTTTGTGGCATTTTCAAATGGCAAAGAAAAAGCTAGATGAAGAAAATGTATTTTCTGATCTTGTAAAGAGAACTACAAACTGATTGTGATTCTGCCTAGTTCAGAAGGGAAGCCCAGAGGTAGTTAATCCAAGTGGGGAAGGTAGTGAGATTATTCCCTGGCAAGAAAAAACTGTTACTTGGAATAGAAAAGTCACCAAATGAGAAGTGAAGGGTGCACTTAGAAAAATAGATATGTATATTTGAATGTTGCTGGTTTTCTCATATATTTTTAAAATAGTGATTGTAAACTAGTTAATTTTTAGCTGCTTATCTACTTAAATAAGTTAGTATCTCCAATTTGTCACCTGTACAGACTTCCTTCATAGGTTCGTTTTGTAATCTGACCATACCTTTTCATTTTGTGCCATTCTTGTCTATAAATCCTGTACAAAGAATACTTTCAATTTGCTGGATGCTTTTCTCTTTGTCTGTTAATATAAAATGGCCATTTATGAAGTACACAGACTCTCTCTCCATTGATCATAGATGTCTTTTGTGCTGATTTCTTGCACGCATTTCATCTTGGGTAATGTTCTGCAGCCTGTTAACACCTATTATACATCTATCATCCTTTCAGTGAACCATAATTTTGATTCTTCGTAGGTTGTCAGGGAATTTGAAGGCTGTTTGGTGTTTTTAAAAGATGATTTTCTTGTTTCAAGGAAAAGCGTGGTGTTGTTGGAAGCACTCTGCAATTTCCTAAACGCAATTCAAACTTCTTTTTTACTCTGGGCCCAGTTTTTTGTCCATCTGTATTGTCTGTCCAATAGACATGTACTAATGGATCATTCAGTGGTCTATATATCCAACTGCATAGTATAGTTTACACAATAAACATTCTATATTCACCTTGTTTTTTTCCCTCCCGTTGGATTACTAGGTTGAATTTTACAGTAATTTTAGATCTATTTTAGATCTAATTTAGATGTCTCTCTAGAATTGTAGGGCTTGTGCAATCAGCAAAATGTCAAGAGGACCTCACTATCTATAGAGAAATTTTTTTGATTTTTTATTTTTTAATAAATTATTTTATTTCTTTCTTTAAATATTTCCCAATTACATGTAAAAAAAATTTTAACAATCACTTTTTAAAATTTTAACTTCCACATTTTCTCCCTTTCTCCTGTTTGTCCCCTGTCCTTGAGAAGGCAAGCGTTTTGATTTCAGTTATACATGTGAGGTCAGTGACTTTTTGTGCCTCTTTTACTGTTAGGCCAATTCTCTTTCTTAAGTTGTTATTTTCTTCAGCACTTTTTTGTGCCTCTTTTTTACTAAGCTGTTAATTCTCTTTCCATACTTTTCTTCCATCACTCTCATTTCTTTTCCCAATTTTTTCCTCTACCACTCTTATCTCTTCCTTTAACTCTTGCAGGAATTCTTGTTGGTTCAGTTAGCAATTTTCTTTGAGGTTTTATTTGTTGCTCTTTTCACATTGCTCTCTTCTGAGTTTATGTCTTGATGTTCCCAGCCACCGTAATAGCTTTTTTTTGGTTTACTCATTTTTCTAGCCTGTTACTTAACTTTGAACTTTATGTTCGAGTTGGGCCCTGCTCACCTGGGGTGGGGAGGCATTTTCTCAAGCTTCTTTTTCATGCTGCTGTTTTCAGAGCTAGTTCTGGGGTTCTGCAAATTTTTGTTGTTTCCAAGGGGTGTGATCCTGGGAGGGGTGTGGTCACAACTCTCCTTATGTGCTCTCTGGTCTTTACCCAGGAAAGGCCCTGGTTCCCTGCACCCACAAGTACAAGTACTCTCTTTGCCTTGGAACTGCAAGGCCCCTGCTCGCTTGTGACTGACCCTCTCTGCCCTGGAACTGCTACCTACAACTACATATGGGCAGTAGAGTTGCCAGTGAGTGCCAGCTGTTCCCAGTGCCAGCAAAGAGTCCCCTGTAATCTCTTTCTGACCAGTTGTCTGACTCCCTATCCATCTTCAAGCAGATAGCTCCTGAAGATGCTGCTGCTGCATCAGCCATTGTTGCTGCAGCTGTTGTTGCTATGGTAACATGTGTGGGCTCCGGACAGGCTTTCACTCTGGTGTCACAAACTTCTGCTGACCTAAGTTTTCTTAGGCCAGAAAAAAATGTCTCACCCCGATTTTTTGTTGGCTCTGTTGCTCCAAAATTTTATTTGAGGTATTATTTTAAAGTTGTTTGGAGGACAATGTTGAGAGTTTGGCCAAGTTTCCTCTATTCCACCATCTTAGTTCTGCCCCCTATCTACTGTTTTTCTAAAAATCATGTTGTCAGGGGAGTGCTCACTGACTCAGGAAAACAGAAAGAGCTGAGAGAAAAGGCCATGGGAGAGATAGTTCTTTCCTCAAATTGCTCCTTACATGGCTGTCTACACTTCTGTGAGCTTTTATTTCCTCTTTGCTCTGCACCTCCCTTTCCTTTTTCTCTGTCTTTCATTCTGTCCCTTTTCCCATCTCCCATTCTCCAGTATCTGACATTTTTCCCCTCTTAGTTTTCCTTTCTTTTGTCCTTTTCATATTTGTTGGCCAGGGGTGGGAAGGTTATAGTAAATAAAATCAAGTTTGCTAGAAAAAGTTCATGGATAAGATAATTAAAATAATTTCTAATTACAGGAAGGACTTAAAATTTGTCAGTGATGTTGAAAAGGAAATGAAAGCTCTTGTGGAAGCTGTTAATAAGGTTGGTAGCCAAAGATCTGAACCAATGCCAAAAACTCAGCTTGTAACACAAAAAATGAATTTCACCTGAATCAGAGTTGGTGGAACAATCTTGTAAAAAAAGGAATGGGGATAGGGAGATTCATTTGCAGACGGCACTGGCAAGTACAAAGATGATATTTGCCTTGCTACAAGCACAAATGGTCATGACATTCAATCAGCAAGCATTTATGAAGTTTCTGTGATATGCCAGGTGTTGTGCTAAGCCCTGGGGATAAGATGCAAAGAGTGAAACAAGTCCTGCTCTCCAGGAGTTTATAGTACCAGCTAAAGTGTGAACTGGGAGCTGCAGTTAAGAAAATTATAATAGAGGACCTGTGAATCAAAAGGCAAAACACAGTTTTGTACATGTAGTATTTAACTCCTGATTTTAAAATTAGTTATATAATCTAGATTTCTTGGTAAAATCTAGGTAATTGACTGAAATCTAAGTCAGAGGTGTTATTTGCATTACAAGTTATGTTAAGAGTTTTCTAATTTCTGAGTGACTTAAGTTATCTTGTCTCTCTTCTCTCTCCCATACAGGGAAAAAATGTTAAGAAAAGTCATTGCTACCCTCCTATGAATAGAGACCATCGAAAGCTCATCTATGAGTTGGCCCAGGTTTATGGTATTGAGAGTGTGAGTTATGACAGTGAACCAAAGCGCAATGTTGTTATCACTGCAGTGAGGTATGTTATATTTTACTCTTCTATTCTGAGTTGTAGAGGGACCTGTAATAATTTTAAGGTTTTGAATATTTCTCTCAGAAATAGAAGATTTGCTTTTGCATGGCAGCCTTGCTCTGTGAAAGTTCTAAGTTCTGAATCAAAAAGAGTGAGTCCTTGCCTCATTTAGAGGAGCTGAATTATCCCAAATATGAATGACTGTCTGGGGAAATAGTAGAAGTTTGAAACTGCTTAGTCTGCTTTTATCAGATGTTTCTCCAGTATCAGATGGACTTTCCTCTCACCTGCCAGACAATGAAATGCTGCATGCAAATGCAGAGAACATAGAAGGGCTTCTCACATCTGGAAGCCACTCCAGGGGACTGCCCACCACATCTGCCAGTCTTTACATTTAAATATGTCTTGGTCAACAGGCATTTATTAAGTGCCTGCCGTATGTCTGGAACTGAGCTAGGAGCTGGGGATACATATACGAAAATGAAACAATTGCTGTTCCTAAGGAGCTTATGATCTGTTGAGGGAGAGACAAGTATGTACATGAGTTCATACAGATAAATACAAGGTAGTTGAAAGAGGGCACTAATAGTTGAGGAGATCAGGAAATGCTTCATGTAGATAGTAGTGAGGGAGCTACATCTTGAAGGAAAAGGGACATTCAAGGAGACAGGGGTGAGGAAGGAATGCAAAGGCCTGAAGACAGGAGATGGCATAAATACTGTATGGGAGAAGAGAAGGCCAGTGGCACAGTGATACCAGAAAGATAGATTAGGACCAAATATAAGGTGCAATTTTTATTATATTCTAAAAGTAATGGGAAACTTTGGGAGTTTATGGAGTATGGGAGTGGCCTGGTGAGATTGCTTAGAGAAAATTGCTTTGGCCCCATTAGAAGGCATGGGTTGGAGTAGTGAAACTTGTGAGGCAGGGATAGGAAACCTGTATAAAAGAATAGTTTGACCTTCCCCCAGGAAGGTCTTATCTGGTGCAAGGCACGTGATTACCACACAGCCAAGTCCTCTTAGGTAAGTTATGGTCCTAATGGCAGCAATTAGTTTTCCATTCCAAGGTTTCCTAGAAGAACTGTATCCTTCTAACAGCCCCATGTTTCCTTAAGGCCTACATCTCTTATTAAGTTATAGCCTAGATGCAAGTAGTTGTTTATTATTCCTCCCTAAGGAGAACTTGGGGCACCTAGGTGGCACTGTGGATAGAATGCTGGGCCTGGGATCAGGAAGACTCATCTTCATGAGTTCAAATTTGGACTCACATACTTATTAGTTGTGTGACCGTGGGCAAGTCACTTAACCCTGTTTACCTCAGTTCCTCATCTGTAAAATGAGCTGGAGAAGGAAATAGCAAACCACACCACTATCTTTGCCCAAAAAACCCCAAATGGGGTCACAAAGAGTTGGACGTGACTGAAAACGACTGAACAACAACAAAGGAGAACTTACCTCTCAGAGACTCATAGGTTACTCCTGACCTGAAGGTATCTGGACCTTTTGCTATGGCTGATAGAAACTCCTTCTCTGTGGAGAAGCTGTTCTTTGGTGCTATACAAGGATATCCTGGACTACGTAGCACGCACTTAATAATTAGTCCTTAGTCATCACTCTCTCAGAAAGTCAGAATGAGCATAGAACATAGAACCTTAAAATCATAGCTTTGATGTGCATATCTGATACTTGGACAAAAACATTAATGGTAGCAATTGCTCATTCCCTATTAACCTTTACTTGGATACAACATTAAAATCTTTCTACAGTACATATCCCAAAATTGTAACTCAGGATTTTCCCCTCCCAGGTCACCTTTTTACCCCAGACAATCCAACTTTATCATATACCTATAAATACATTGCTCTTGTGGGGTTTTTTTTTAGCAGCCTGTCTTCCTGCCATCAGTAGGTCAGAATGGCCTTCACAGATATTACCTCATCTTTCCTACCTTTCACATCCAAAACAAATTCTTTTAGAGACTTCTTTCCCTCTCTTACTTTGATATCTTAGAATTCATTTCAGGCCATTTCAAGTCATTAGCAGAACCATAGTCAAGTGTTCCCTTCCTATTCCAGCTCTTACGGCATTTCCCCAAGAAATTGGTCGTGGAACCAGAAGAGAACCAGAAACTGCTAAAGGGGAAAGTGAGTCAGTGGTTGAAAAATCAAACGGGTAGGGAATGCCTAGGATCTGAAGTTTAAATATCAATCTTAGGTAATTGACATGAAGGAAATGGAAATTTTTAGGTGAGTCAGCATTAGGTATGACAGTCAGACAGAGTGCCTTTATTAAGTATCTACTTTGAGCCAGGTGCTAGGGATACAAAGACAAAAATGCCCATGATGGGGCAGCTAGGTGGCACAGTGGATAGAGCACCGGCCCTGAAGTCAGGAAGACCTGAGTTCAAATCCAGCCTCAGACACTTGACACTTACTAGCTGTGTGACCTTGGGCAAATCACTTAACTCTGTTGCCTAGCCAAAAAAAGAATGCCCCTGAATAACTTACATTCTATCGGGAAATATGTACACATACGTGCATGTGCATGCATGCATAAATTTTAAAACCAGACCTGTGATTTCATCATGTAGAGAGTCTGCAGTGAAGAACCTCCTCTACTAATGGAGATTGACACCCCTCTCTCTAATTTATATTCTTTTTGTGGCAATGGGCCACTGGAAGCTTGAGTGATTTGTCCAAGGTCATACGAGCTAATTTGCATCAGAGGTGGAACTCAGTCTGAGGTCTTTATTTGCATAGAAAACACACACACACACACACACACACAGAGTAAACAAAGTAATTTCTGAAAAGATCCTGAAATGCCTCCTTTAGGAAACAGATAATGCTAAGTACTGAATATGTTTGCTGACTAAATGATTATTTAACATTTTGTGTTTTCTTTTATTAGGGGTAAGTCTCTTTGTCCTCCTACAAGTCTAACAGATATACTGGAGAGGGAAATACAGTCAAGACCTCCACCACCAATTCCTCATCACAAACAACAGACAGATAAGTAAGAATTCTTTACTTATGCTAGTAGAAGTAGAGAATTATCCAAGGCCCTCTAGAGGTACACTTCAGTCTTGAGCTCTGATTACTTACACATGTTTTCTTTCCCACTGTGCTTGCAGCACAAATAGCTACTGTCAAAGAACTACAGAGTGTTAAAGCTACAAAAGACCTTGAATATGTTCTGACCTCCTTTGTATAGATAAGGAAACAGAGGCCCAGAGAAGTAAAGAGAAAAGCAAGATAGCATCAGAGCTCCTCTTTGTCTACCTCTTTGAGAGGACCCACTAAGTATACTAGAGGCTTTCCTCTTAACTTCTAGATGTTATGTAGATACCATTGGAGTTTCTGAGCTCCAGTTTTTCCTTGATCTCCCTATATAGCTAGCTGCCTAATAATATCCTTTATGCTACATTTCCTCAGAAATTTCAAGTGTTGCAGTAACATACCCCCCACCATTGTCCTTTAGGTGACCCAGAACTATAGGTCCTCAGATATTGGTGTTTTGTGATTTGAAGCTATACAGTATGGCTGGAAGAGTGTTGATGTTAAAAAGATGGACCTCTGTTTCATGGAGAAGCTGCACGATTTCCAAAAGGAATGCAGCTCACTTTCTTGCTTCTGTTCCATTCTGGGCCGAGCTCATTGGGTGTCTGCAGTCTGTCCAACTAATGTATCAGTTTCATGGGCTTTCCACCTAGTTATTATTGTCTGAACAAGATGGTCTTTATCTACTTAGTTTTTTCTGTTGGGTTTTTAGGCAAGATTCTTAACTAAATATCCTTTAGTAGGTTGTCTCAGGAATTAATACAATCAATCCATTGTCTTTCTGCAAATGATCGTACGTGTTGGTGGTACCTTCCCTCTTAGAATACTTTTCCGTCTATGCTGTATATTTCTTTGAAATTTCTGTAAATTTCCTTCGAGAACTTCACTATTTATGGCAAAACCCATTTCCATTTGAGCTTAGCACTGAAAATCATCCAAAACCGTAGCAAGCATTCTCTGTTTGATCCCTTGCTTGATATTAATAATCAGTAAGTCATGAAAGTCATATCTTTTGAAAGAATCTTAAATGATTTTGCCATGTATGCCAGGTACTTTGTTAGAGCCCTTAAGGCAGCTTTTTCCTGTACCAAATCAAATGTTTTTATAGTCAGCAAACAGTAAGCACAGTGGGAGCTGATAATTTCTGCATCTTCCAGGCAGTGGTGTGACTGAATGTGCAACCCTGCTGAAGACTATCCTCTGAAAAAGCTTCTGTGTCATTGCTTCATCAAGGTGCCCTAAATATACGTATAGATTCTCATAAAGATTTTGTAGAGATGGAAAAGTGAGAGTATAGTTATTGATAGTTTCTCAGTCCCCATTATTCCCAGTAACAATATCTGTTTTTGAAAGGGTATCCTCTCCTCTTTCAGATATCAAGAATTGATTCCTCAAGGCCTCAAAATTGTGACACCTCCTAATTGTACATGTAGTCTAGCCCTGCTTTTCTCATCCTTTCTTTAGTGTAGTTTCTGCTTCATCTGGCAGGATAGCAGGGACTGTGATGTTAGATTTCATATATTATGGTTCTGTCATAATTTGTTGCAGACACCTTGACAATCTTTTCCATTTATCATATTATCCTTCTATTTTTGTCCTTAATGATTTCAAGTTTTATAGTTTAATTGGGTCCTTCAATAAGCCTTCTATAAATCATTTTCCCTCTGTTGCTTTTTCATTGTTTTATAAGGTATTACTGCTTATAATCTTCTACCTCTTCTGTAAGATTTTTACAAACTAGTTTATATTTTGATCTGATATAGTCCTTAGCTACCATATCTTCTCCAGTTGCAGGATATCAAGTGATTCTCAACTAAGATTGTAGTCTCTTTTCATCCCCTTATAGTTAGCAATTGATATGTGTTGGTTAAACTTCCATGGGAAATGGTGTTAATGGTGATTAAGGCTGGGTTGTTTTGGTTTTTTTTATCAGTTTCCTATTTTTCATTGTCTCATTTTTAAGTAGGTTAGATTTAAGTTGCCTCAGTTTTATGCTGTTTTACTTTTTTTCTAATTTTAGATGATTCTTATCTTTTTTTTACTGTACAAAGAGCAGATTCAGAAATGACTCCCACATAGAATTTTCCTATCATTATATAATTAGTTTTAGTTTTGTGATATTAATTTGATTCTTGCCATATCCAACACCTCCCAGTGCTTTTCTCGAAAAGAATATTCAGACTTCTGTGTGTTCTGCAAATTTGTGGTTTTTCTCGTTTCTAAGTCTTGAACTGTGTTTTCCAAGATTGTTTTGTCTTCCCCTGTGCCTGCTCTTGCACTGAAGTTGCTCGGTAATTATGCTGCTGGTGTCTCAGTAGATAGAATCAGTAAGACCTGAATTCAGCTGAGGCCTTAGACACTTAATAGCCATATTAACCCTGGACAAGACATTTAACCTTCATCTGCCTCATTTTCTTCATCTCTAAAATGGGGATAATAGCACCTACCTCCCAGGGCTGTTGTGAGGATAAAATGATGTAGTGTTTATAAAGTGCTTTGCAAATCTTAAAGCATTATATACATGTTAGCTAATATTATTTTTGTTATTATAGTATACATTGATATAATGAAAGACTTTACTGAGTTCTTTACTTTCTCTTCCACTTTATTCTCTGCAGTTAATGTTGGCATAAAAGTTGAAGTTATCTTCTTGGTAGTTGTTTTTTTTTTTTTGGCAAGTGTTTATCATGAACTCTGCAATATGAGATAAACAAGTATCTCACTAAATGATACTACTTGTTGCCCTTGGATCAGTATAAAACTAACTCCATCAACTGCTTTATTTGTTTTTCCAAGGAGAATGTTATCAGCCACCCTTCCATTTAGCTGTAACACATTTCTTTAAACATTTAAAAAGCCCCGTTAGTCAAAACTTTGGATCTACGTTCATTATTTTTGCATTTTTTAAAAAAAAAATGTGAAATAGCCTTTTTTTTTAAAGGTGCAATCATTTGAACTATTGGGGACTTTTTTTGTTTTTACTCAGTTATTTAATGCATATTGCTTGCTGGAATATTGATGTTTTATATCCTTCAGCTATATTGAATTTAATTTTTATTAAATGTTTTTTAAATAAAATACTACATAAAATTGTGGAAGGGGGAGCATGGTGTATATTAATAGATTGATCTTGCTTTGAATTTCGTTAACTATTTAATAGCCTTATAACTATATATTTTCTTCCCCTTATGACTTTAGGTGAGTAAGTAAACCTTAGAAACATAGTTTCCTCATAGATAGAAAATACAACTTGTCCTTGCCTGTTTGGCAATGTGGGTATAATTAAATGAGACAATGGCTTTGAAAGCGCTTTATTATTATGCTAATATTGTTACTATTAATGCATTAGCCACATAGTATGGCTGTAAATTGATAAGGCTATTCTCATCACAGATTCTTTATTTTATAGTCAGACTTTATACATATTAAATAGTGTAATGGTTCTGATATATTGAAGCCGTTTTACAAAGTTTGTTAGATGGTAAATTAACCAACTTCCAAAAAACATACAACTCCTCTAAAACATCATTTTTCCCCAAAACTTGATTGTCATCATATGATTGTTTTTATTTCAGGAATCCTGGTAGCAGCGGAATGCAGAAAGTAACAAAGGAACCAGTCATTGACTACTTTGATGTTCAAGATTGAGGAAGATAATGTGTCAATCAGAATTCTTGACGTCTAATTTAGATGTAATGAAAAGACTGATTCATTTACCAACTGACATAATCATCATGCAAGTTTTTAACTCCCATGTAATCAGTGTTTAGCACACTGTTTTGTACTGCTAGGTCCAGAGCATGAGTGTGCGCAGAAATTGACTATTATTCCTGCCTGTACAGAGAGTTTCAAATGTAATTCAAACTCTGCTTGTATATTTACTGAGTACCTTACTACTCCTCCCCCCTACTCCACCTTTTTTTAGCAACTTGCTGTACTTTAGTACTTGCAACTTAGTACTTGTACAGTTACAATGCTAATTAGAAAGGGGAAGGGAAAGTGTTGGTTTGGATTTTTTTTTTAAGAAACCAGAACTGCCGTTTGATTTTATTACCTGTTGCATTATTGTACTTTTAATGGAATTGGAATATCTTAATGACTTGTGATGAAAATGAGATTTACGGTTTTCACTGGAACATCAACTTTGCAAATTGCATTCAATACTAACTCGAGTTTTCTTTATGCTTATTCATCTGGAAGTAATTATCACTATAGTTTATGCATTCTAGCTCAGTAAGTTATTCATCTCTAGTAACCTTTAGAAAAAAGCAGGCAAATTCTGTAGTCTACAAAATAAGACATTATTCTTCTTTATCTGATATCATATGTGCTATGGGGTGGGTGGTAGGGGGTAGATTCTGCATCTGAAACATCATCAAATTTACTGAAAAATTTGACAAACCTATAGCTGATGCACCTGACACAGTTAATATAATTACATAAATCTTGGTCAGACAAAGCATCAGATTTCTAGAATTTATTTTTCTGTGATACACACAGAATCTAATTGTACCATCTAATTCATTTCAACCGCAAACATTTATTAAATGCCTGTGTTCAAGTCAATATGCTATACCCTGAGGGTACTGAGACACAAACAAAACAGCCCACAGTGAAGAAACTTACATTTTTTGAGGAAAGACAAGGACTACCAGAGAATCCCACGATTGTGGGGGGAACCATCTGGTAAACTTTCCCCCAGTCAGTTCAAGCCTCCCAGAAAATACATATTAGTTGGGAACCAAAGGATGCTTTACTTCGATGGTGAGAAGTTTAGGAGTATGGTTTATTTATAGTATTGATTAGCATCAGACAGTTCCATTTAGTTTTTTATAATTATCATTTTTTCACCAGAAACAACTCATCTGATTTCTTTAGTCCATCTTCCATGCATAAGTCCTGAGAGTGCTGCATTGAGCCTGTGGGAGCCTTTTTATAGTAATAGAAGGGCAAGAAATCAGTGGAAGCAAAGACATTAAAAAAGAGAGAGAGAATGATGATGGAGAGAGAGAGAAAATGAAGATGAGGAAATTTTGAATTGTGGAGGCAGAGAAGTAACATGGCACACACGGGTGGAGGTACTGTAGGCAAGTCATTTAAATCTTCAATGTCTCAGGCAACTCTGTAGACAGGCTGCTGGTCTGCATCAGTGAGTTTGCACACATGAAATTATGGGGATGGACATTTCCTCCACCCCCCGCCACCCTTCCACAATGGAGCGATTGGTAGCAGTGAGTAGTGCTGGCTCAGGATTGTGCACTCACTTACAAGCAGAGGACCCATGTTTGAATTCTGGTTCTGTCACCTCTGTGACTTTTTTTTTGTTGTCATTCAGTTGTGTCTGATTCTTTTTTACCCTGTTTGGGGTTTTCTTGGCAAAGATACTGGAGTGGTTTCCTATTTCCTTCTCCAGCTCATTTTATAGGTGAGGAAACTGAGACAAATAGGGACTTGCCCAGGGTCACACAGCTGCTAAGTGTCTGAGGCCAGATTTGAACTTGGGTCTTCTAGACTTCAGACCCAGCACTTTATCCACTAAGCCACCTAGCTGCTCCTTCTTTAGGCCTAGTTTTCTCAAATGAGTGAGCTGGACTGCATAATCTCGGAAATTACTTCCAGTTCAAAATCTTTTATCCAATGAGAGCCCCTGGGAAAGACTGGACAGATATGAGGGAAATGAAATCCACCAAAGGGGAATCAGGAGGGCCACTGGGAGATCCAGCATTATTCTGACATGATATAGAGGCCTATGGTGGGCCCAGAAATACATGAAGAGACTTCCATTCCATACAGGAAAGTATGAAAAAGGTGACAGTAAGAGCCTGGTTTAGGCTCTTTCTCCACAGGTCCACTGTGGCTTCGACCCTTGTTGGCTAGCTGGAGAACCCAACCTAGTCATCCCTTTTCTTTACTTTCTTAGGGGTCATACAGTAAGATACCTCCTTTTTTGTTGCCCCCTGTTGCCTCTGACCAGGATTTTTTACCCTGGCCCACTGGAAAGAAGTCTTACAGTTTCTCACAGAATATTTATCCAAGAAAACCAGGCTATTCTGGGGTGCAGCTGTGTCTAGGTGATGGGTGAGCAGACTGGATAGGATCAGGAAATGCTGCCTACAAAACCAGCCCTAGAGGAGTCAGCAACTTGAAGGCAAGAGAGGAAATAGTCCCAAGCAACTGTTGGTAGGGAAGAAGAGGAAGACAATCCGTTCTGGGATAGGCAGCAGAGAGGTAAGAGGTTAACCAAAGGACTTCTGGGGTCTTTGTATGCATTTCTCTAGTGTGGTAATGCTTTCAGATTTTTAAAGGACAAGAGAACCAAGATATCTGCAAAGGAATTATGTAAGTTCCAGGCTTTTTGCTTTATACTGCCAGACTTTATGCTTTGCTTTAAGGGAAACCCCTAAGTCTTGCTGCTGACATCTGGTATTTGCTGCCACACATTTGGAGAACCAAGAGCTAGATACATGGAGTACAAAGTTCGGAGAAGGGGAAGGAGGTCTTCTAGAAAGTGTTGCTGCCACTGCAGTGGTGATAGTGGTGAGTTTTTGGGACCTCTTCCCATAATTGGCCCTAATTGGAGTCCCATAAGTCCCACAATTGGAGTCTAAAATCAGGCTTCATTCAGTAAGACATCATTATACCAATGCTGTGCAGTAAATATGACTAAACAAATGGACAATGAAAATTCAGGAACCTATGGGGAAATCACCAAAGGGTAGGCCAACCCCTTCATTTTATAGATGAGGGAAGTTAAGTGACTTGTCTTGGGTCACACAGCTAGTAAATCTCTTGAGGCAGGGTTTGACCTCAAATCTGGACTCTAAGCAAGTGCTCAATCCACTGAGCTACATACCTGCCTCAAAAATAAAACATCAGATAGAGGATTTGACTTCCTACCTCTGACTCTCAGTCCAATACGCTATCCACCATACCACCCAGTTGCCTCAAAGAGCATAAAGATCTCCACCTAATCCAGGGAATCTACAATTCCATAATTTCTAAATCTTAAGTTACCCCCTGAAAGGGCCAGAGTTACTGAGAGGTTAAGTTACTTGCCCAAGATCACTTACCTAGGTGTCTCAGAGGCTGCATTTGAACCCAATTCTTACTTCCAAAGCTTTTCCTCTTTCCACCATATCCCACTGCTTCTCAAGTAGACAGCAACTTGGTTTAGTGTCTGTTTGATTTAAGTCTCTAGACACTTTGCTAATTTGGAGATTGATTAGTGCTTCAAGGTAGATGTCATAGTGTAACTCTAGTTATTACCATAAACATGTTAACTGTAACTGATCATCCACTTATTAAAAACCCTCCTTCCTTGATATTTGCACTTTCTTTGTTCTACCTTTCTGCCTTCTTTCACCGCCTCAAATCTGGCTGTTCTCCAATACTTGGTGTACTTGGCCCTCTGCTCTTTCCTCTACATTCCCTTGGTGAATTGGTTCTCATAGTTTCAAACATCACCTCTGCAGGAAATGATGTACATCTGACTGAGTGCTGGTCCCATATTTCTTCCTTCCTACAGGAAATCTTCATATTTTACCATCACTTTAATTTTAAAATACCTCAAACAGAACTTGTCATTTCCCCCTAGAAATTTAATTTTCCTGGTTCTATCAATAAGCATCAGCACTCTCCCAGTCACTCAAGGTCAGCACATCAGTATAACAGGCTTCCTTTCTACAACGTAGACCCAGACACCAAGTCCTACCAATTTTTCCTCTGAAATGTATCACATCCAGCCCTTTACCATTCCTGCTTTTACTTTATCCAAACTCTTATCATCTAAAGCTAACTTCTCACCAGTTTCTTGACCTTTTCCCATTCCATTCATCTTCATTACTGCCTAGTATAATCTAATGCCTCATGTCACTACCTTGTTTGAAAATCTCCAGTGGGCCAGGTATGTTGGTGTATGCCTCTAGTGTGCTGAGGAGGCTAAAGCTGCTAAGTTTGGGAGTTTTTGAGCTGCGGGAGAGCTAAAGCTAATCAAATGTCCTTTCTAATCTTGGCAACAATATGGTGAGACCCCTGGGAATGGAGAACCACCAGAGCTGCTTAAGGAGGGGCAAATTAGCCCGGGTAGGAAAAGTGTAGCAGGTTAAAACTTCCTTGGCTAACCAGGATTACTATTGGGTCAGTTAAGTGACCCTTGCTTGTACATGCAGCCTGAGTGAGATGGGAAGACTTAAAAAAAAAATTCCAATGGCTCCTTGATCTTAGTCAAAGCTCAAGTCTAGAATTCAAAACTATTACTAATCTAGCCTTAACCAACCTTTCCAGCCTCATCTCCTACTGTAAACCAGTCATCCAAGCTTTTATTCCTATTCCCACTTGGACTGTCCACCTTTCTAAATCTTACCCTTTCAAAGGAGCAGATCATATCCTGTTAGTCCTTCCTTGGCCACTCCAGCTCACAATGCTTTCCCCATTCTTTACTTTTTCACAAATGAGTATTTTTCAAATCTAACCTCATACATTTCCTTGCTGTCACTTGGACAAATCACTTAACCGTTGGCTGCCTCAGTTTCCTCATCTGTAAAATGGGGATGATAGCACCTACCTCCCAAGGTTATTGTGAAAGTAAAATGAGATTAAAAGCACTTTTCAAACCCTAAAGCACAAGCACTAGCTATCATCATCATCTCCCCAAACTTGATCTTAAATTCCTAGAGTAGGAATCCTGTCAATATGGTTCTTTTGGATCCCACCTTCCCCACTGTCCAGCACAGTGCTGTGCACATAGTAGGAATTAAATACGGAATTTATAACTTTCTAGACACCATAGCATATCTGAAATGTAACTATAGCTACAATTACGTGTGAAGTTGGGCTATTCTTGTCAACTCCAACATATGTGCAAGGGCAGTTGAAAGAAAACAAAAGTCAGTCCTTACCATCCAGGAGCTCTCATGGGGTAGGGGGAGAAGATTCAACACCAAAACAGATCAATACAATGTTGTTTTATTTAAGAGAGGAATCACACTAACATATTGGTAGGAAGTAAGTCAAGACAGAGGAGTTGACACCTGAGTTAAGCATTGAAGAAGCTAAGGGTTGTATTAGAGGTTGGGGCAGGGAGAGTGCATTCCAGGAATAAGGGCAGCCTGTGCCAGGCCTGGAATACTGAGTTCTAGGAAATGACTAGTAGGTCAGTCATATGAAATAAGTCTGAAAAGGGGCCAGCATGTGAAGGACT